TCAGCATGATCACAAAGGGCAGCGCGGAGAGCAAGGCGTTCGCCCAAATGCTATACCGGAAGATGCCATGAATGTAGCGTGGAATTTGCTGCATCAGCGTGTAGAAGCTGCAGGCCTGACTCATCTTGCAGAAGGCCAGAACGAGAAACGGACGTGAGGTCAATATGTGACGCCAGGGCACTGGTGGAATCTCGCCTTTGGGGGCATTACTCTGTTCCAGGGACAACTCAATATATTTCCTCTCAGCCAGCGAAATAAAGAGCGATTCGGAGGGAGAATTGGCGCCATAGCGCAGCCAAAGCAGGCACCACACAATCCCAACGTAACCTAGGAAACAACTCATTAAAGAATTGGCTTTAAATGAGGCTGGCACACTCACTTACCTGGGACATAGAAGGAGCTGGGCCAACCGAGGGGAGAGGCGGAAAGGACTCCACTGAGAGCAAAGCCCAGTGCTGTACCACAGTCCAGGCCAGTCGTCATGATGCCACCAAAGCGATTCTGCTCCTTTTTGGGACACCATTTGGCCAGATGCGTGTACAGGCAGGGCCACATGCCGCCCATGACCAGGCCCTGCAGGAGGCGCACCCCAAAAAGCAGTTTCCAGCCCCCCCAGGCAATAGAGAAAGGCGTGACCACGCTGAGGAGACCGGTGGCCAGCGATATCACAAAAAGCAGCATCTTGGCTCCGAATCTGCTGGAGAAGTAGCCGCCCAGCAGTTGGGTGAAGCAGCAGCCCCAGAAGGTACTGCTCAGAATATACGACTTCTGCTGCCCCGTTAGATGGTACTCTGGATAGTCTAGATTGCTGCTGTTGGAATTCGTAATCGCCACAATGGCAACGCTCATGTTCATCTGCTGGAGCATGACCAGGGTGGCGCACGTGAAGAGGAACAGCACCTGGAGGTGACGGATGCCCAATGCGGGTCCTGCAAACAAAATGTTGTGAAAACGAATCTTGATGGCCCCATCGATGGGGAGCCAACCTTTGGTCACCAAAGAAAACGACGTGATCGTCATTGCAAGTGCAATCGGTGGCAGCGACCACACCGTTCACTCGAAACCACAGAACTGACCAGAGGAAGGAGTATAGGCAGGTGAATAGGTAGCTGCAGCCAATGCAAAACTCGTTTGTGTGCCAAAACCAATAACGAAACTGCACCGAAACTTGATTTCTGGCCAACGACGCTCTTGTGTTCTTAGCCAGGAGGCAACGACGTCACTAATCCACATGCTGCGATGCAATCAGAAGGAAAACAAGATCTGTACTATATGCTGCTCCACTGATACGATTCAGAATGTTACATTGCCACTGGCTTAAGCCTTAAACTTAAACTTATTAATTTCTAGACAATTACTGACTTACTTAATAGATCTCGATTGGGAAACAGTTCCTAAACAAACAGAAAAACTGATTTGCTTTACAGTAAATCACTTTAGCTAATTGCCAGGGCCCCAATAATTCCTCGTAAAGCCAAAGACTAGGCCACAAACAAAGGGGACTGGCAATACGGGCAGACGAGACCCCAAACCAAACAATAACAATGACGAGGAGAAATAATTCCAAAACAGTAGCGGGTAATATATGTATTCTTATCAATTGGCAAACGGAGAACTCCCAGTCACCAGTTCACCCAGTCACCCTGGCGCTTGATATCAATCGATTTAAGTAATTGCTCTCAGATTGGTTCCGGCAATTAGATTCTGTTTTATCAGATGACAAAGCGATCGATGGTTAAGCGATAATTATGGTTCAACTTGCCATTGATTAGATAGCAGACAGACCTTACTCAATTCAGTGAAAAGAAGAAGGCTGGTCTCAAACACCTGATCCGTGGTTGACTTAAATCTGTTTACCATTTCCCAGATAGTTCGGAATCTATGGACTAGATAGGATGCATTCCAAGCGAAAGAAGAAGCTGGCCATGGCCCTATCCCAGATAGTACGGAATCTACGATTGAAATAGCCCAGACCTAGCTCAATTCACGCGAAAGAAGATGGCTGGTCTCAAGCATTGATCCGCGATTTAAAGCTGCTCCTCATGCCTACGAGTGTAGTACGTACGTTATCGGATCCATAGGCATTCCCACACGTATAGGCACATGAATACCCAGATCAAGCAACAGCTAACAAGTGTAAATAGAGCCAAGTAAAAAGCAGAGCGAGAGGCAATTCAACAAGTTTATTTATATTTCTAAGTATCACAATTTTTTCATTTCCTTTTTTTGTACCCCAAACAGCTGTGGCAATTGTTTTATTAGGGAGAGTACCCACAGGTCCGATCCACTTGTCTTCTCTGCAGCACCATTGAGAATTGGTCGCGATTGGTGTGAAAATCCCATATAAATATATGTGTTTATATACATTTATAAGATAAATTAAGAGATTAGATTAGAGTCCTCGATTCGAGTACCAAATCGCAAGCGTTGTTGGCAACAAAACAAAGCAAATCGAACCGAATCTATTGAAAATAAGTAAATTTACTCAAGTCTCGCGCGCATGTCACGCCATATAAATAGAATAAATATGAATTACAACCTACTTATAGTTAATACTGATTAACAAAATCAATTGTTCGACAACGCTACTTCCGCCACAAATCAATCCGTCGCCATCACCGTGTACCTCTCTGGCCAGCTAATTGTCTGCTCCAAGACAGGATCGATGGGTGGCGCGATCGCAGGCGGTGGGCTCTTCTTTTCGCTGCAAGACTCTGCATCCTTGGGCTTCAGATAGTCATCCGCATCCCAGGGTTGCGCCTTGGCCGTGCCCCAGACGAGGAACACACAGTTTCCCACAAAGAAAATTATGGCGGCCAGGCCAAATACTATCTGCCATTGGCCACGATCGTGCTGAAGAGTTGGAAAAAACCAGGAGATACATTGATTAGCTTTCGTTTCGGGCTTTTCACATTCAATGGCAGGGCTGACTCACCTTATCGGTCACGATCTCACCGGCAATCAGTGGCGTGAGGATGGGTATTATATTCGCCACCGTATTGCTCAAACCGATCAGAATTCCGGCATGATTGGGCGAGAGGTCGATGGTATTTAGGGAGCTACCGATCGTAGCCCCACTGTTGACGCCCACACTGAGTGTCATCAGCACAATGGCCAGTACTTTCTTTTCCTCGTTGAGGAATCCAATGCCGATCAGGGCAGCCGCCGGTATCCAGAAGGAGAGCGTATTGAACAGCTTCCGCACGGATGTTAGAGATAGGAACTTCTTCTTGAGCAGGACATCGGCCGCAATCAGATAGACATAGGAGAGCAGCCACATGGCCAGGAATGGCAGCGACGAGAACACTGCATTGCTCTGGATGTCCATGTTGAGTACGCCGTTCATGTAGGACGGAAGCTCGGCTTGGAGCGTGCTCAGTCCATAGGTTTCAGCGCACCGCGTCACTAGCAAAGCCAAGAACGGAACGGACGTCCAGATGGCCTTCCACGGAATAGGAATTATCCGATCATGGAAGTCTTCGTTGTGCTGCAGCGAAGACTCTATGTACTTGCACTCTGCTTCGCCAATGAACCGGGATTCGGGCGCATTGTTGGATCCGAAAATCAGCCAAAGGACACACCAGGCGGCACAGAGAGCCCCCGAGACATACGAGATTCCCGGCCAACCCATGGCACTCTCGGCAATCATTCCACTGATGAACATGGCCAGTACAGTGCCGCAGTCGGTTCCCGTGTAGCTGAAGGCTCCCAGGCGATTCCGTTCTTCTGGCGGCGACCACATGGCCAGGTGTTCCGTCACACAGGGAAAGATCACGCCCTGGAACAGACCTTGTAGGATGCGGATGGCGCAGAAGACCTGCCAGCCGCCCCAGGAGATGCACCATGGGGTCATCATGCTGAAGACCGCCGTGCCGAAGCTGGCAATGAACAATACGACCTTTGCACCATACCGACGACAAAGGAAGCTGCCTGGACAGAGGGTCACGATGTAGCCCCAGTAAAAGCTGGACAATATGTACGATTTGTGCTTTTCCGTCCACTCGTATTCCTGGTAGACAACGGACCACATCAGCAATGGATTTCTTTAAATGGAGGAACTCAGCGCACACTCACCGGAAAGTTGGGATTCGTTGTGGCAGAATTGGTCATGGCCACGATGGCTACGCTGACGTTGAGGCGGGCGATGTGCATCGCGGTGAGGCCCAGGAAGAGCAGGAACGATTGCAGATGGCGAATGCCAATGCGAGGCCCTTTAGCACCTTTGTTACTCATTTTTCACGAGCAATGAACCGAGCGAGGGCAGGGGAGGGGAGGATCTTGAGGTCTGCACCGTTTGGTTGGCGGATCGGTTCTGGGCCTTTGCGATATTGTTTAAGCAGCATTTATATGACAGCTGAAAGCTTCGGGTGCTTGGCCCGACCACATTCCCGTAATCATTCACATTACGGTCGTGTTTGCTTGCGGACTCGCAGGTGACTCCCACAGAAAGATGCCCTGGCGTTGGGAGGCGCGGGAGCAAACACCGCTACTAACTTTGACGCAACTCCTCGATTCCAGAAGTTGATTGACGTCCCAGATCTATTGTACAAGAGAGATCATACATATGTATACGTATAGAGAGTACTCGGTACAAATGCAAATATTGTTGGGTTTACACAAAGTTAAGGTGGTAGCTGAAAAACACTCCCCATGCGATGCCCCATTTGCCACAGACTTGTTTATTTGTCCAAAAGATTTATGGCGAAAAAGCTTGAGCTTCTATCGGATCCAGGTGGATTCCGCTTAAAGCGGAAACTAAGTGCTATAACCAGGCAAACCCTAGCTTCCAGTTAACATCGTCAATGGGGCTATAAATGAATGATTCTAATTTATTTTTTGAATATTATTCTTTATGGTTCACGTCGCGTGAAACAATGGAACGCGCCTGATAAGCGATGCTACCCGCTAAATAAATAATAAACTAATCGATAATGTACCCGACCCAAAGAGCCCAAGAGTGTTTACAATCTTTCTATCAATTTATTGAACGTTATTATATTTAAACAGCTATAATCTAAGGCTAAACCAACCAACTCTTCGCTATTCGAAACTCGAGTGATTCCCCATCGAACCACTCATGAGCGTCTCTGAGCAAAAGCTCCACGGACTCAAGTGGAGAGATTAGGAATGCTATCGGGTCTGGAGAGTCGGAAATTGTACTATCTGGATTGTTCGTCGATTGCCTTCGGCTTGCGCTCGGCCAGCTCTGGTTCGTGGGGCTGTAAAAAGTCTTCGGCATCCCAGGGTTGGGATACAGCCGTCCCAAAGGCCAAAAATATGCAATTCCCCACAAAGAAAAGCACCGCCGCAATAATGAACACAATCTGCCATTGTGTACGATCACTCTGGAAGAACGAGAAACCATTAATAGTTATTGATATTTCTATGGAGTGATGACAACCACTTACAGTGTCCTCCACGATGAAGCCCACAACTAGAGGAGTGACTATGGGCACTATATTCGCCGCTGTATTGACAATGCCCATTACAATGCTGGCATGATTCGGCGAGAGATCGATGGTGTTGAGGGAGCTACCGATGGTGGCTCCACTGTTGAAGCCAACACTGAGTGTCATCAGAACGATGGCCAGAGTTTTCTGGTCCTTGTCCAGGAATCCGATGCCGATCAGTGTCGCACACGGAATCCAAAAGGCCAGCGAATTGAAAGTCTTCCTCAGGGCAGTCAATGACAGCCGGTTGCCGGTAAGCAGAATGTCGGCGGTGATTAGGTACACATAGGACATGCACCACATGGCCAGGAAGGGCAGGGCCGAAAAGAAGGCATTGCTCTTGATGTCCATGTCGAGGACACCATTCATATAGGATGGGATCTCGGCCTGGAGTGTGCTCAGGCCATAGGTTTCGCAGCAGCGGGTTATCAATAAGGCAATAACCGGAAGCGAGCTGCAGATAGCCTTCCAAGGAATCGGAATAACTTTCTTGTGATAGTTCTCACTGTGCTTCAGCGACGACTCAATGTAGTGCAGTTCTGCCTCCCCTATGAAGCGGGACTCGGTTGCATTGTTGGACGCAAAGATAAACCACAGAGCACACCATCCGAAGGCAACACCAGCGGACACGTACGAAATGCCCGGCCAGCCTATGGCACTCTTGGCTATCATGCCACTCAGGAACATAGCGCAGACATTGCCACACTCGATGCCCGTGTGGCTGAGAGCACCCAAGCGATTACGCTCCGCTGGCGGGGACCAGCGCGCCAAGTGTTGATGAATGCAGGGAAAGAGCAGTCCCTGGGCGAAGCCCATCAGGACACGTATGCCGCAATAGGCCTGCCAGCCGCCAAACCCAATGAAGAGAGGCGACAGGGCACTGGTAACGCCGGAAGCGAAGGAGCCCCACAGCATCACACTTTTCACACCGAAACGCTTGCACAGATAACCCCCAATGAACTGCGTAAAGATATAGCCCCAGAAAAAGCTGGACAATATTAACGCCTTCTGGGACTCCGACCAATCGTATTCCTAAAAGAGAATTAAAGGAAGTATTATTGAAAAACGCAACAGGGGGAATAGGGCTATGTCTTACTGGAAAATTGGTATTGGTAGACTCCGCATTCGTCATGGCCACCACAGAGACACCCACATTGAGGCGACCCAAGTACATGCTGGTTATATTGAGAAAGATCAGCAGGGCCTGGACGTGCCGCATGCCCACAACAGGTCCTGCAAACAAAAGAAAACGTTACTCTTATCATATATCTCGAGTACTTCCTGCCGCGCTAAGCAATTGAGTAAATAAATCTGAATTGCACTCGAGACATCGCTATCGAACAGCCCACAAGCCAAACGATTTATGACCCTCCGTAGAGCCACTTGTGTGTGTCCGACGAGCGAGTGGTCTGGACTTTAATCAGGCCACGGGCAAGGTCTCTCTCTTGACTCTTCAAGGGATTTACAAAAGTGTGTCAAACTCAGTTCCGTTCCCTTTCTATATGCTCAGATATCCATCAAAGTTCACCAAAGAAAGTTCACTCAATTTCATACCTCTATTTGGTTCGACTGTCATCCTTGAGGATTTATACGGAAATCACACTTTTTGAACACAGTCCGAACTGCAAAACTGTTTGAACTCGAATGGATTGTACTAATTTACACTCGATTTCAATCGAACAACCTGATAATCGATATTCGTCTAATCAGAGAGATTATCCTGCGATAAGCTTGATCGCGTTCGTACGCGTAGTTCGTTGAATTTACTTATTGACTGCACTGTACTCAATCGAAAAGCATTGCGGAATGTCGAGATTAGTTAATTTGTAATTAGATTAGGAACAACATGAATTCCAAAGTATACGACTCTGTATATACATATGTATATATAAGCCAACATCCAGAGCGCTGACCTAAGGCAACAATGGATCTTGGTCATTCTCCAGTCATCAGCTGATACCATAAACCTCTGGACAATAGCCACCACTTGAGATAGCCGGCCCTGACACGCGTCTAAGCGTGAATCGTAATGGGGAATACCAGAAACAGCTAAACTTTCCAAGAGCACTACAAACCCTTCCAAGCTAAAGCACATACGATGGCATGGTTTTCCCTTATCGAAGTCACATTTTTTGGGACCCCTAGTGGATAAACTGAAATGTCAATTTAATTGAACACCCATCGATCTTGTTCTCGCCCGACCCATACGTCAATCGCATGGGCATTAAACACGTTCAATACTTCTGATAGCTCCAGCAATAATCTATGTTAGATAATGAAATTTCTATGGACTTATGTCGAACTGCCATTGCCCTTCTTCATCAAAGCTTCATCAAAATTGACACGGAAATAGGTTTATATTTGATTTATTTGTACTTTTTATGTCTAAACTTATCAATTAGTTTTGAATATTCTGAGAAATTCTGTGCTTATATGACCACGGACCAGCCGATAATGATTTTCTTTTGGAACATTATTCCTTCGAAATTTGTAGGCGCACCATCTCATCTTGTGGTTATCTCTACTTTCTCGCTTTGTTGTGCCTCCAGTGCCTTGGCATTTCCTTCCTCCTGTAGAGTGGAGGACATTTGTTTGTCCAAAAAGTCGGGTGCATCCCATGGCTGGTTAACCATCTGACCGAAGATGAGGTAGATTATGTTGCCCACAAAGAAGATGACGGCAGAAATGATGAATACCACCTGCCACTGGACGCGATCGTGCTGCAAATATCAGAACCAAGATTATAATCAGGTGAACCACGTAGGGATCATATAGGGATCAGGACTTACATCATCCGTTACGATAACAGCTAAACTTTCCAAGAGCACTACAAACCCTTCCAAGCTAAAGCACATACGATGGCATGGTTTTCCCTTATCGAAGTCACATTTTTTGGGACCCCTAGTGGATAAACTGAAATGTCAATTTAATTGAACACCCATCGATCTTGTTCTCGCCCGACCCATACGTCAATCGCATGGGCATTAAACACGTTCAATACTTCTGATAGCTCCAGCAATAATCTATGTTAGATAATGAAATTTCTATGGACTTATGTCGAACTGCCATTGCCCTTCTTCATCAAAGCTTCATCAAAATTGACACGGAAATAGGTTTATATTTGATTTATTTGTACTTTTTATGTCTAAACTTATCAATTAGTTTTGAATATTCTGAGAAATTCTGTGCTTATATGACCACGGACCAGCCGATAATGATTTTCTTTTGGAACATTATTCCTTCGAAATTTGTAGGCGCACCATCTCATCTTGTGGTTATCTCTACTTTCTCGCTTTGTTGTGCCTCCAGTGCCTTGGCATTTCCTTCCTCCTGTAGAGTGGAGGACATTTGTTTGTCCAAAAAGTCGGGTGCATCCCATGGCTGGTTAACCATCTGACCGAAGATGAGGTAGATTATGTTGCCCACAAAGAAGATGACGGCAGAAATGATGAATACCACCTGCCACTGGACGCGATCGTGCTGCAAATATCAGAACCAAGATTATAATCAGGTGAACCACGTAGGGATCATATAGGGATCAGGACTTACATCATCCGTTACGATAACGCCAACCAAGAGGGGCGTTAGAATGGGCACAACGTTGCCCGCCGTATTGACGATACCCATGAGGATGCCAGCATGGTTGGGCGACAGATCGATTGTGTTGATCGTGCTGCCGATGGTGCTTCCGGCATTGATACCCACATTGGCGCACATCAAGACAACGGCCAGGGTCTTCTGCTCGCTGTCCAGGAATCCGATGCCGATCAAAATTATGGCGGGAATAAAGAATGATATGGAATTGATCGTCTTGCGGATCCCTGTGATGGTCATGATTCCTCCTGTTAGTAGGATGTCCGCAATGATCACATACACAAAGGCCATCACCCAGGAGGTCAAGTAGGGAAGTGCCGAGAAGTTGGCATTATTCTTCATGTCCATCAGCAGGACACCGTTCATGTAGGAGGGCATCTCCGTCTGCAGCGTGGAATAGCCCCAGGACTGGCAACAGCGCGTGACCATCAGGGCCCAGAACGGAACCGAGCTCCAGATGGCTCCCCAGGGAACCGGGATTGGCCCCTTCGCCTTCAAGTCCTCCGCCTCCTTCGTGCGACTGGAGTTGATCGAGGTCTCAATGTAGTTTAGCTCTTCGTCGCTGATGTACTTGGATTCCCGAGGCGTGTTGGCGCCGAAGATCAGCCAGATGATGCACCAGGCCACGCCAACGGCACTCGAAATGTAAAAGATGCCGGGCCAACCCATGCTAGAGGCGGCAATCTGGCCACTGGCAAACATCGCCAGCAGAGTGCCACAGTCGAGACCCGTATTGGCCAGGGCGCCCAGACGATTGCGCTCGTTTACGGGACTCCAGTTGGCGAGGTGGGCGTGGATGCAGGGGAATAAAAAGCCCTGGAACAGGCCCATCGCCACACGAATGACGCAATAGGCCTGCCAGCCGCCCCAGGAGATGCACCAAGGCGGCAGCAGGGACAGCAGAGCCGATCCAATAGTCGACACGAACATGGTCATCCTCGCACCAAAGCGACGACAGAGCCAGCCACCGAGGAACTGTGTCATGATGTAGCCCCAGAAGAAGCTGGACAGGATATACGAGCGCTGCTTTCCATCCCAATCATATTCCTGGAGGAAAAATAGTAAAGGCTAATGCTCAGAACAGAGATGCGGCAGACTTACAGGGAAATTGGGATTGGTGCTTTCGGAATTCGTCATGGCCACAATTGCCACGCCAGCATTAAACTTGGCCATATAGTTGACCACGATCGACAGGAAGAGCAGAAAGGTCTGCACATGCCGTTGGCCAATTGCGGGACCTGAGAAATTGTCAAAAAGTCTGTTTAATGCCAGTCACTCAACTAGATACACTTCATTAAGTAGCATTCATTAGCTCCAAGTAATCCAATAACTTTTTCCAGTTTGTACATGTTCAGCACTTAGTTTTATTACTGTCTCAAGCGTTTCCACTTTTGGCAATTCATTTCGAGTTTATGGTTCCATTTAAATCAAAATTTAAAATTAGTTTACGGCCTGATAAAGTTTTACAATGACTTGACTTTCACAAAATCGATCATGCTATCGTTTCCATATAGCTTTCAGCTTGGAGTATCCTTTTAGAATGTCTACTAACCCGTATTCGTTTCAGCCGTCATATTTAATTTGTTCCGCACACGTCCAGGATCGAGAAGCAACTCAATTTGCAACCGACTTTTAGCTTACTTTACACCTTCTGCGTGCTCTGTTTTTAGTGGTACTAATCGCAGTCTGAAGTGACAACCGCGTTATGGAGAGTAAATCAGAGCACTTGACAAACACGATATCGATAACGAAGCCAGAAGTCATGCCCACAGCGAGATAGGGAGTACAAGTGATAGGAATTTCATGGTTCTCAATGAATGAGAGGGTACCACGATTTTAATCCGGATGCGTAGATCTACACCGCACCGATAGCGATCGAAAGGGAAAGGCCCCCCCCTTTATGAAGCATCAAATACTCTGCCGGACCTCTTGTCGCTGTCATGCGCTTAATCAAGAGACAGTTTGAGCTCTGGAGAGCCCCGGGGCTTACGTGTAATCTTATCGCTGACCATGTCAATTATCTGGACCGTGTTTACCCCTTGGACCTATCGGATCTGTGCACACCCAACACATGCTTCACACGATCCAACCTCCAAAATATATCGTCCGTCGGGGCACGAGCCGATAGCGAAGCGCTTTAATCAATCAAGGCGCCGTGCTCCAGCATGAGTGGGGTTTCTGAAACCCCTTCAGGTGTTCGATACGAGTATATTTCTTTTATTGCACTATAATGCTTACAGTATTCTATACATATTGCTTGACTCGAGTTGCAACCAGAGAACGATCTTTAGCGACTCTCCTCCTCCTCTTCCTGAAGTCGCAGTATGTCCGCTTTGTTGATGAAATAATAACTTGGCTGCCGGCCCTTCAGGTCTTTGGCGGTGCGCTTGGCCCCGTTCTGAATCAGTATCCGACTGACGCTCTCCAGTGAGTTGGTGCCCATGGCGTAGTGCAGAACAGTGCGTTCCAGCTGGTGGTTAAAACAAGTAGAATCATTGAATAAACCTTAAAGTAGGACGCACTTACATTATCTGTGATCTTCAGTGCCTCGGGACAGAGTTTCACCAAGTGCTGAACCATTTCCTCGGACTCCTTCAGCACTGCTATGTGCAGAGCGGTTCGACCTGCGAATCAAAAGAATCGAATCAGAAGTGGTTCCTCTTTAGGGGGAATCGTTGGCGGTACCGTAGTAGTTCTTGGTTTTGATCAACCACTTGGCATTGGAGACGGCGGTTAGCTCCCTCACTCTCTCCATATTGTTCTCCCTGATCATTTGGTGGAGCTCCTCGCGGGTCTCCTCCAGTCCACGCAGTTTTTCCAAGAACTTGCCCAGGGCTTCGTGCTGTCGGGTGGCAACCACATCCCCAATGGACTGCCCGCTCTCATCCTCAATGTCCAGGATGTGATCGTAGCCCTGCAATGCCAGTTGATCAAAGGGTTCCACTTGGCCTGAAAAAAGAGTTAAATGTATATATGGATGTATTCTGATCTCAATGCAATGGTTTGGCGACCGATCCTACCGATGGCAGCCTGGGCCAGGATATAGCGATCGATCTCTGCGGCATTGTTGGGCTGATTGGCCTGAAGGGAAACATCGCGAGCGGTGCGATATAGCTCATCCCGGTAGCTGATATCGACGCCAGACTCCTCGATGAGGGTGTACAGTGCGCCGCGGCGATGGGATCGGGCGCAGGCAAAGTGCAACATGCTCTGGCCATGCTCGTCCCGTTCCTCCATATGCTGGACGGTCAGAATATCCTCCTCTTCGGCCAGCGATCGGGCATCTAGCTCGATGAGATCAGCATTGCCTATGCCATTGCGACTGCCAACCAGCATCGGATTAGATTTGACCATGGCATTGGAGGTGGAAGTGCCCGTGTGGACTTCCACTTCGGTGATGGGCTTCCGTTCGCCCATGAAGTGCTGCAGATAGCCGGTGAGATAGGCCACGGGATCCTTGGGCCGTTTGTTAGCGATCTCGGTGAGAGCCCTGATCAGGGGATCGGCCAGAGCTTAAATAATGTATACATGTTATCGGTGGACTCCATTCCGTATTCCTTAATACTCACAGTCTGCCAGATATTTTCCCTGTTCCGTCTTGAAGATGGGATTGGCCTGAAAGCTCATGGACTGCGCCTGACCTGCACAGAGAACATACAGCATTAGTAATTCTCTCCATCTCAGGGATCGGAGGTATCACACTCATGGGATAGAGTCCCAGGAAATCTATACTATACACAAAGCGAGAGGAGCAGGATGTTTGTGGGGAGGTAACAAACGAAGATGCGGATGCCGATGGTGGAACTCAAAGAAACATTGCAAATCATATTGAAATCGGAACAAGATCACATTCCCGGGACGTATGTACGTAGGTGTAAACTCAAATCAGAACTTACGATTACGGAATTTGGAATATGTGCGGCGTACGAAGAAGCTCAGCGTAAGCGGAGGAGTAGGTGGATATTGATGGCAATGCTGGGCACACAAGAGTCAAGAATCGATCAAGTTAGGATCTATATAAGTATGTTTCTAAGATAACAGTAGGTACGGGTACGAGTACGAGCATGTATGTTATGTACATTGGGGGTATGGGGACCTATCCCATCACATCCCATCCTATTCGCCGGAGGCTCAATTGCGATCCACAATGCTGTTCTTCTTGCGCTTGAAGATCTTCACCAGCATGGTGGCAATGTGCTTGGAGTTTGTCAGCGACATGTCCTTCTCGAGGGACAGTATATTGGTTACGGCGGTGCAATAGTCCTGGAACAGCACATACTCCACAATGCCCATGCTCTGCATATTGATGAGCCGCACCGTGAGCTTGGACAGGCGGTTCGTCACCATGCTGAGCCCTCGCACGGCGCACAGGTGCCTTAGGTTGTCCATCTCCTTCATCAGATTGGGCAGCTTCACGATCGTCGTCATTTTGAGGCCTGTGCCCAGGAAGGCTGGCCTAGATTGCAAATATCCGAGCAGATAGCTCTCCTTAAAGTGCAGCTGCGTCTCCAGATAGGTCACGGCTCGTCCCACCCGCGTATAGGCCGCTCCCATATCGCCCGGATCCTTGCTGCTCGTCGTCGAGATCACGCGCAAATGCTCCTGGCAGTTCAGCCACACGGCCATGTTGTGGGCGGAATTAACAAAGACGCCCCGGCCATAGGGCCAGAGGGCACCATTAAATGCTGTCGACTCGGCTGCCTGCACCAGGTCTTTGGTGTCCAGCAGGGATATCATCAGACCCAAACTGCTGAGCATTAGGGTCACCTCCGAGTCGGGCTCGAGCAGCTCCGTGAGGGTATAGTAATTGCCGGACTCCGTCTCCCCAATGGCATCCGCAAAGCTGGTCGTGAATATCTTGCCCATCATGAGGCGCTCGGCCTGCTCCAACTGGCCAATGGTCAGGTTCAGGGGAAGCTCCAGCTGGTCGAGATTGCGCGAGGCCTCCACAATGCAACGCGTGACCAGAATTGACTCATCGTCGTAGACGAAGGCGGCCGTGTTCAGTCGATCCCCGTTCTCCATGGGAAAGTAGGCGAGACGCGGCTGCGGCTTAAAGTCGGCATCGATGCATAGGCAGTGCATGTCCTTGAGCAGCGGCACCAGGAACTCCTGGAAAACCACAAATACATCATAGTCCGGCGCGATAATGCCACAGTTGATGTCCTCCTCCAGGTGGCGGGCCTTCGAGGTCTTGCGCATCGCCGGCCACAGAACATCGAAGAGATTGTGGTCGAGTCGCGTCTGGCGGCGCTTGATCTTTTCGTAGACGGCACGCTTGAGGAAGCGGCTCAGGAAGCTGGTCACCGACAGCTGCAGCGATGAGGCGCTCAGTGGCTTCCTGTGCGACAGGGCCGAGGCCGTGCTGGCGCTCAAAAGCTTTCCCGATTCCGCTATCACGTTGTAACAGCGCTCCAGAGTGCGTGAGATCTCACCATCCTGCAGCTCTCGCCGGGCACTGTGCAGATCGTCGGGAACTGCGGCGTTGGGTGTAATTTTTGGATTTGATGATTATCATTTTACACAGCACACACACACACACAGCGGGATGATGAACACCAAAGCATGTACAGAGACACAGATACTGATACACGGAAACGAGCACGAATGAGGGAGTTTGCCAAATGGGTGCTGAAGAAAAGGCGACGGTGCTTCAAGTGCTTTCTGTGGATAAATAAACCCCGAATGTATGGTGTTTGTGTGTGATATGTGTTACATACCAAATAAGTCATCAATATTGCCAATGATTTCATTGAAAAATTCACGATTTCCCTCCATTATGAGAACGAGTACTTTGCTTGCAGCGCAACTGAGAATCAGGTACGACTACGCGGACGAGTGTTTGACTGACTATTGAGCGAAGGACAACGTGTGCTGCACGGTGCGACTGAAAATCGATGACTGAATGCTCGGCCAGGGCACGGGCCAAGTCCATGCCACTCTGGGGGGTACAGTACACACCCTCTTTTCATATATTTGACATGGCAAGCAAACGTATTTAATTATTTTGGTTTACTTTACTTGGTGGGTGTCTCTGCCCCTTTTTGTTTTTGTGGGGGGTACTCGTAATTCAAATGAAACCGAACGAAAAGCCGCACAAAAGCAAAGAAAAATGAGTAAGCTTTCCCGATACTATTTCGAGTGGAGTGGTTTGTGCTATCATGGTATGACTCTTGTGACTGGTCTTGAGCTGGAACAGCTGCAGGTGGACACACAGGTCAGGTCAGGTGCTGTGCCAGCCCTCTTGTCCTACCTTGATCGTTGAGCAACTGATTCTCGAGCTCCTCGGCCCCAAAGAGATTGAGCAGCTCGGTGTAGTTGAGGATATCCTTCGCCTTCTCCTTGTCCAAATAGAACTCGGCCGTGTGGCCCAGCTGCGTGCAACGTTGTGGTTGTAATGGCATTTTAAATATTAATAAATTTAGTTTGGGTTTATCATAAATTTATGGCATATTGAGGCGGCACACAGACACAGACATGGTGACATGAAAATGGGAGTACCCTGCGCCTTGGCCCACTTTGAATTGGATTTCGAACACAGTTTTATTTGAAATTTGCCGATGAGACGCCCCCCCCCCCCCCCAACAGTTGCTTTCGTTCCCAGTTCTATTACTATTTCAAGAATGTATTTCTAATCTGGCTGTCAGGAATTCTCCCTCCAATTAGGGATAATTGATAAATTGCCACCGAAAAAGTGGTTATTCTGTATTTCCCCCCGCTTTCCCTTCACTCACCTTGTCCAGTGCCTTGGAATTGCCGCCCAGCTGGGATAACATGTTGTAGAAATGGCCATTGTCCTTAATCGTGGCTGCATAGTGAAGCGGCGTGCGTCCGTCATTATCCGTAATTGTCATGGTCTCCGGAAAACGCGAAGCCAAATACCGAACGATGTCTGCACACAAAAAAAGTCAAGCGAAAAAGCCAATCGAAATAGGGAATTTAAGCGGAAGGAGAGTATACCCAACACCCACCCGTGTGTCCAAAGAGCACGGCCACGTGCAGGGCCGTGGAGCCATTGGGGGATATGTCGTCCTTTGCAATGGCAAACTTCCGGCGATCCAGTGCCTGCTGCAGCGCCAGCAAACTGCCGTCACGTGCCGCATCGTGCACGCGATGGATTTTCTCCTGTCAGAACAGCATATGAACCGTGCCTTAATTAGTGGCTACTCCTTCCGACCATCCCCCCACATCCTTCCGCTTACCATGTAGCTGGGCACGTTGTTGAGAAAGGCTTGTATTTCCGCCTCCTTGGACTTGAGATTCAACAGACTAGCGCCCTCGCCATTCAGCACGATCTCGGCCAGCTGCTCAAGGTCCCCCGATTCGATGATCTGCTTCATGCGTGCCTCCTGCGAAGGGAGAGGCAATACCAGTCAATTAGGGATTGCTAGACAGACATTCATTCAGTGCGTAATCGAAAGCGTAATTGTTCGGTGTGCCAGAATAGAAACGATGACAGAAATGGTTAGCAAATAAAAGATGAAACCCAAAAGACAAGCCTGGTGAGACAGCAACAGAGAGAGAGAGAAACAGAGATTGAAAGATAGGAAAGGATAGCATCGTATACTTCATCAATTGCAGTTTGAGACTGAACTGTATAATCCTCAGGTGCGCCCTGCACAAAGCCCTCGATGGCCATGGCCGATGTCAGGGATTCGCTGCCATCCTTGTCAGGTCCCGTTTCCGGTTCAGTTGGTGGTTCTCCTCCTATCGACTGCGACTCCTCCAGGGGCTGGCTGTCCTTTGTAACTGGCGCTATCACATCCTGTACAAAGGGTTTTTTGAGTTTTACTTGGCCAACTGTCGTTTGTCGATTATCGCTAAAAAGTGCAGGTGACATGACAACACTCACAAACAGGACACAAACAGGTAGAAAGGGACTACGTTTTTACAAGGACTAAGTGCCACTACAGAATGACAATGCCAGCGCTGTTGACCCATTAAATAATTGACAAAGTAAATAGATATGTATGTCCATAGGTAAATAGAAATCTACGGCACGTATACGTAATGTTACGCATACGCCATGTTTTCGAAACAAATTGCACCTACACTTTCATTACTTTTATTGAAATGCAGCACCTCCTATCATTTTCATGCCTTCTAACCCCTAACCTCTAGGGAAAACTTGATTATCCTTAACAAATCGTTCGTGGGGGACTGCAGAAAATCGTTGCAACGTTGCACCAACTGGAATGTGTATATATAGCAATTTGATATATACCATATGTAGATATACATATATCATATATCATCTATCTAATGCCTGCAACTGCAAATGTTTTGACGTTTGCATGTTCCTTTGCCATTTGGACTCTGGCCTGGCTGCCGCTCTGACAGTTGAGGAGCTCTGGCTCTGAGGCTGGTGCGCGGCTATCGTCTTTCCGTCTCCACATGTCAGTGAAAGCGCTATGGGAGTGAGTGCATTATTATAAAGTATATCTGTGGGTAAACAGCTGCTGATTTTCGCCAATCGATAGTGCCGCAAATCGGGGGCAGGGCAGACACTGGCATTGATTTGATCTAAGGAACTGGAATGAATACGAGTATACGAATGGATGGTACACAAAACGAACTGAAACCGAAACTTAAATGAAAATCGAAACTGAAAGGGAAACGGAAACACAATACATGGGAATTGGGGGCTTATTTCTCTTTTTGGAGTGGGAGGTGGGGTGCAATGGAAACGATAACCAAAAGACACAAGTTGCAGGTTTTGCATTCCATTTTTAATTGGTTACTGTAATCGTTTATGGTTTAATATTAATTTTTTTACTTCCAGTTGCTTTTACAAAATATATTGGTATATATAAAGAGTCTATGTATAGCTGCATAAAGAAGTAAAAAGTCTGGTTATATAATTATATAAGCTGATTGCTACTGTTATTCTTTCTTGGATTGCGGCTGCAGTTGTTGCTGTTGCTGTTGCTGTGGCTGTGGCTCTTGCTGTTGTTTCTGCTGTTATTTTTTGGTGTGGAAAACAATTAGAATGAATGGAATTTGGGTGCCTGCTGCATTTGATTGATTGATTGATTGGTTGTTAGATAGTTAGTTTGCTTTCATTTTACAGTTCACAGTTGAGTTTGAAGATTTGGAAAAAGTGGTTTGAGCGGTTGAATGGCACACACAATACAAACTACAAAAAAACGTTGCACGTTGGACAACTAGAGCACGCCAAAGTGTACCTCATCATCGTCATCGTTCTCATCATTCTCTACATTATCCTGATCCTGTATCTCCTTCTCCTCAGTCATTGGTTCCACTGGCTCCTCCAACTTGATGATCTTTTCCTCTTCAACTGCCGCCTCTGGCACTTCCTCTTCTGCTTCCATCTCTGGCTCCGCCTCTTCAGTCTTTTCGTTAACTTCTGGCTCACTCTCTGTGGCAGGCTGCTCCTCCTCCTTCTGTTCCACATCATTACTCTCTGCGACATTTTCATCGTGGTTTTCCTGCTCATCATTCAATTCCTCGCTTGCAGCAGACTCCTGTTCCTTCGGTTCCTCCTGTTTTTCTTGATCCTCCTCTCCACCCTGGCCACCTTCTCCTTCTTTACCGCCGCTTATAGCTCTTGCAATATTCTGTAAAAGTAAACAATTGTCGACTGATTGCTTTCCGAGTGATTCAAAGGATTGTTTTACTACGATCTCAGCCTTCGATTCATTGTATGTACAGCAGAGAAGTACTTAAGAGGTCTAAACAAAAAGCGCATAGATATAGAGTGGTGAAGGGGAAAGCGAGAGCCGACAATGGCTTACTTTCACAGAGCCCTCACCCCGCCTGTGTCACCAAAGCAAATCCGAGTGCAACACAGAGAAAGCTTTTGGAGGAGTGCAAGCAAAGACCAACGAAAGCAAACGAAAGACGCAATCCACAAGCAAAAAGGCAACACTTACCTCCGCCTCACTGTCTTCGGTGTCGCCTTCGATATCGCCATTAATGTGGCCATTGTTGAATGTGGCCGGCGTTTCCGGTCTGCGCTGCAATGGCGATACTTCCGGCGGAACCGGTACCGGATCTACATCCGCATCCAAATCCGCTTTGGACAAATCCTCTTCGTCATCATTGGCACTTGTACTGCGGTTTCAAAATGCAAAAAATGTTCTCTCAAAGCAATGCCCCACAAAGAACGCACAAAAATCAAACAAAAACTGAATCCAGCGCAGCCAAAACTTAGCCTAATCCCTGTCTCTGTCTGCCCTTAGATGCTGCACCACCCACTCACCCATCGTTTGTGTCCAGCTCCGAAGTGTTCTCGATGCTGTCGTCCAGCGATTTACGTCCATTCACAGCCGGTGTCATTTTAATGTCCAATTTCTGTGGAATAAACAGATAGATGGTGTAGGGATTCCCCACAAGCTGCTGCCTACGCCCTCCCCGACTTACCTTGCTGCCCGCATCGCCTCCGGCACTATTCTCGCCACTCTCATTGCTCAAGGCCTCCCAGTCAGTGATGCTCTCGGGGGAGACGCGCGGTGCCTCCGGGACATAGACGAGGAAAGCCCGCTCGATTTCGTGCGGCTTGTGGCGGTAGTACGAGGCTGTCTTCATTTTCTGAAATTGCCCCAATGAATCATTTTAATTGCTCGGTTGATTGCCATCCCCCACTCACATAGTCGAGGGCCTCCTCGTCACAACCCGCCTGGGTGAGCAGGGTATAGCAGCGCATGTTGTTTTTGGCACTGGCAGCCCAATGAAGCGGCGTCTTGCCGGTGATGTCCATCTCGTGGGCGCCCTCCGGCCAGAGACCGACCAGATACTCCAGGATCTTGGTGTGGCCCAGGCCGGCGGCCTTGTGGATGACATTCAGTCCATTGCCGTCCTTGCAGGTCACCAAGGCAGCGGGCACGGGAGGCTCCAGCTGCGCCTGCACTGTTTCCAAATTGTTCTCGATCACCGCCTGATGCAGATCCTTAATGGCATTCTGTGGACTCATTTGGTAAAAGAGGCAGTGGGATTTTCAGTGCATTGCCTTACCATAACATGTGGCACGGCGGCAAGGAAACGCTTGACACGCCCATTATTGCTGGCCTGCTGGCACAAGCGATGTCCTTGGCCCGCCCACAGAATGCGTGTCAGTTTGCCAATGTCCTTTTCGTGCATCCAGATACGAATGGTGGATAGCTTTACCGAGAAATCTATTAGCCAAAAAAGTGGGAAATTGAAAACGTAGAAATTAATTTCACAAGCGCCACCGCCCCTTTCCCGACGCCACCTCCAACCCCAATCCCAATCCCAACCCATTCGCTATGATCGCCCTTAAGCGATTTCCATTTCATTGGCACCCTCTTCGTTCGTGTTTGCATGCAATTTGCCAAAAAAGCAAACGAACTGAAAACTAAATTAAAACGAATACGAAAATAAAATGCAATAAATGTTCAAGTTGTGTGACTCGCGACCTGCACTCGGCAGTTCGCTTAAAGTGGCATTATACGAAAAACTCAAGACAATTTCCGCTGGAGAAAGTTTTCGCCAACTTGAAATGCGCCAAGGTCATCGGAGAACTTTTAAGTGGAAAGTCTGCCCCTTGAACCGCCCAGAGTCGGGTTTTTCAAGAGTTGCAATGTGCCAATACCACTGAATCATTGATGTTATTGATGGGAGAAAATGACATCTGGCTGTGGAGGATCCCCCAATCCCAATAACACAATACGCACCATCGTTGTTGCGACGCTTGTTTCCATTCAGGCCGCCTGTTTGTCCGTTCATCGGCATTACTGTAAGTGGACCAAACATTTTCGTTGATTTCAAAGTGAATTATTGAAACAGTAATATATTTATTGTATATAGAATGATGAAATATAGACTGACTATGTGGTCTATTTGGCAGTGGAAAAGTCATAGCCTACTCTCTCCTTTATCCCATACTTTCCTTAGTTGTTCGTCCTACTATCAGAGTCGTTCTATTTTATTTGCGTCTGGCCCGCTTGAGCCGCGTTGGCAAACTAATTCCTGGCCACGTCGCAAGGTGTTGAATTTGTGTTGTGGTCAAGGAGAGTGCAGACCGCTACACAGTCGACGAAGAAAGGGAAGTAGTCGGAATAATTGCGTCCTGTTCGCGCTCTTACAACTCCTGCTATGAATAAATAACCTTTTGTTCCCTTTGTGTGGCGTGTGTTACGAGTGAGTATATAAAGCACAAATAAAACATTTTCATTAGCCCATCGATGGGTTCTTCTTGTGGGTGGCGAAGGCACTATGCAAATATGTGGAAATACTCTGAATTTCCGTTTGACCGACACTTGCTAGACATTTTTCGTAGCACAAAATATACAGGGAAAATATTTTCACGGAGTTTTGGGTTTTCCAAATGCACAAGTTCCGAGTCTCTTTATAATTTCCAATGGAATTCTATGTTTTACTGAAGTTTTAAGAAAGCTTAAGCTAAAGAAATGATTCATGCACAGTACGTTAAAATTCACTTCAGACCTTCTTCGTCAAGGTAATCCTTGAAAAACTCTAGTGCAAATCTCTCCTCCAGTGAAATTATTTCCCAGAACACCACCTAGTTCCTTCGAGTCTACCTTTGACCAAACAAGCACACATATCTGATATGTCAAGGTCTCCTTAGTCTATTCCTGGTGTGTTGCTCGTACTCCTACACCTGAGGAACATTCCTTGAACGCTTTGTGTTTCGTTTTTGTGTGACATGTAAATTAGTTGAATGGAATGAATCATTAGAAGGGCTCCCTAGCACATACTGATGAGGTTGAGTGGCAATAAAAACTGCTCGAAAGTGCCACGAAAACGGAAATGGCGCATTAGTGTTTGCCACTTAATGTGGCACTCACTCCCTGTCTTCCTTCAACCCCCTGAACAATGTAACTTGTTGAGCGGACACCCTTTTTATGGCACGCAATATGCAAATTTTGGCCAAGACCCCTTCCTTCTGGCAGCCTGCGTGTTATCACCACAATTTCCCACAATTATAAAGAATGAATGTGAATATTTATTCGTTGAAACACTCACCTTTGGGTGGCGATGAATGGTAATATAGGCCTTGGAATCTTCTCCGACGCTTCGGCGGCATCGCCAATTTATGTTTTTTTTATTGCAGAGTCTCTGTACACGTCGTAGCACTCTTAGAGTCCACGACTCTTCACATTTCCCCAATCGCGATTCATTTAGCACTGCGGTTTGACTCACTTCACACTTGGCACTGGAAAAGCTGTGGAAAACCTTACTTAAAGCGCGAAGCGCGGAGTCGACCGTTGTCCTGGTAGGTTAAACGACGTCTGAGTTGACAAATGCACACGCTCAGATGGCCGACTGGACAACGTAGTCCCTAGCCCTAACACCATTCCACGTGCTCCTTCTCATCCTACGCCTTGGTCCTTGCGTGTGTGCATACCCAATGACGGGGGCGGTGGATGGAGGCGGTGTGGTCTCACATTTGTGATTTTTATTATGTTTTATTTATTTAGTTTACCAAAAGCCGCACAGCGCCCCGAATGCATTCAACTCGTGTGACGTTGAATGCACAGGACGTTGCCTACTTATTGGGGCCGACTGCAGACCCCAGGACCAGGGCAGATATATAAAATGGGAGAGCGATGAAAACACACCAATTAGCCGCGCGAATCGATTTTCTGATTTGGAAGGGGTTTACGAGTATTATTGAAATTGGAGCAGAACCCAGAGAGGGGTGAATTTATGAAAGAACTAGCCGAACAGGTCACAAAGTCCTGCCCCAAGGTCCTTGCGACCACCTACGCGAAGAGGAAGACACGCTGCTGCTCGATGGATGAGTAACGCTATTCCAGTGGCGTGCGGTCAAATTTTAAGACCCACTTGACACAGTTTCGTCCAGAGAGAAGTGCGTGCGTATCCCTTTGAAGGCCTTTCCATTCCCCCCAAAACAGAACGGTTGACCCAATTTTGGATAGATCTGCTGGGGGTACGTGGGGTACGGGGCCACCGTAAATGTCACTACCAATTAGGGAAACTACCGCCATGTGGCTTCTCTGATTAGGATTTATGGCAACCACTTTGATTGCACTTCCGCGACTGTCAGCGTAAACGATCTATGCATTATTCATTCCGGAGCCCAGGGGTTTCCTTCTACATTGAGTGGCGAGCTGTCAAGGGGGGGTGTCGGGTGCATTGAACTTGACAGAGACGTGCATGACCCTGCCACTGGTCAGTGCACGGCCAACAGCTCAAGAGTCCAAGAACCCAAGAACCCAAGAACCTCTATTGCATTTCTCACTCGAACGTAATCACATCTACTTTGCATACACTACACTTTCCGCTTCCGATTCTGACTCGCTGCTTTCCGCTCTTCTGTTTTCTGTTTTCCGTTTACTGGTTTTTGTTTTTTTGGGTATTTTTGTTGTTCCGTTTTCCTTTCGATACGATTTGCACGACGCGCGCTTTCCTTGCAGACTGCGGCATATTCAGCGTTTCGTAGGTGTTTTATCTAATTTTTCCCTACACGCACACCAATGAATTTTATCCACTTTCACTCTCTCCCTCTCCCTTTCTCTCCCACTCTCCTTCTCTAGGTGTGGGTGTATCTGTGTGGGGGTATCGAGTATTGGTAATTGCTGCCATCGCTTGCATGCGAACGCCGAAAAAAAACCCCCTCAAATAAACCAAACCGATGGGAACTCGCGAGAGTGGGCTGAGGGCACAGAAACACTTATCTAAAATGGAAAGTAAAGGATTATGGGAGGGAGCGAATGGTGGCTATCAAATATGAAATATATCTACAAATATTTGAGGTCTTTTGACTGAAATGAATGGAAACTTTTCTACACCAAAATGTCAATCCTTTAGATATTGATAATTCCGAACTTAAAATTAACTCTAAGACACACTAAGATCTGCAATTGCATCTCTACTCGTCCATCGTTTAAGAAGTAATTCGTATATATTTCTCAGGCAGTTTGCAGACAGCCTTAAGCGTAAGTCTAGCTTAATACTTAGGAGACTAAGGGGAATCCTGGCAAGGAATAGGCTATCAGCTTTTGCTACTCAGTTCGTCTGCGGAGACGTGAATGGGATGGGTGAATTCGATGTGGTCCGTCGAGGCATCTGAAAAGGGCACAGATTAATAGAGAGGGAGGATTCATAGTAATCAACCACTCACCAAGATGTCCTCGTTCAAAGTAATTTGGAGACGCAGACCCCGGGTGCAGACTTCGCTTCCGGCGCGAAACATTCGACTCGCGACGGGTCCGGAGCAGGGCCAGGCTGATGTGAGACTTCTCCAGCGGCAGGTTGTCGTCGCCAAACTCCAGGCACTTGCCGTAAACGCAAAAGCGCTTGCTCACCTGCGAACAGCGCGTGCCCAGGGGAAAGTGTCCGTTCTTGCCGTTCACCAGGTAATACCTGTACTTGATGAGCTCGTCCTGGCAGCCGACGCGACAGCTGCGATCGGGTTCGTCCATGCTGGCCGAGATCTGGGCCCCGTGTCCGGACAGGCCGCGCACCTTCATCCGGTAGTTGGCGCAGGTCTGCTCCGCATACTCCGCTGCTGTCTGGAGGCGCTCGCAGGGCTTGACGCGATGTGTACAGAGCTGGAAGCTCTCCTCCCGCGTGACCCTCGACCTCACCGCCTGGATGCCCTTTGAGTCGGCCATACAGTTGGAGTGGCAACCCGACTTGATCTCCCACTCTGTCTCCGCCGAGGAACTGCGATCGATGGCGATCAGCGAGGCAGAGGCTGGTGGGGGGGCTGCCCTCTGTGGCTGCTCCTCTCTGGGTGGATACTTGTGGTACGATTCGTAGGACTTCCTTTTATGCGGCTGCTGCTGCTGGGGTCTGATATGGTTATCCTGCCCATAAAAGCTGCGCACGGCCACTTCTACTCGGAGAAAAAGAAAATCAGCGCGACTTTAGAAAGGAGACAAAGATATCCAATACCATTCTCAAAGCGATTTCTGGGCGTGACTCCCTCCTGCCTCTCCGCATAGCGCTTGTGCGTCGTCTGCTGCAGCCTGCTCTCCTCTTCCGCAGAGTCCCTTGCCCTCGACTGGCAGAAGGTCGGGTCCATTCTGAAGAAGTTGTTCGTGGAATTGTCGCACGAGAAGCGCTCGCAACGCCCCGAAATGCAGTAGGCAATGTCCCCCGCGTTGTGCTGCTTGGACTGGCAGGTGGTGCCGTCCGGAAAGGTCCAGCGACGCGACTTGGTCGCATTGGTTTTGGTGCGGCAGAACACCTTGCAGGAGTCCTCAAAGGTGGAGCTCACCTGCTGGCCCTCGCCCGTGAGCTCTCCGTCCAGCTTTTTGGCCTGCATGCACACCTGAGAGGCGAAGTTGGCGATTGTCTGGACCGGCACACTGTAGCACTGCTTGGCAATGCAGCTCTCGAAACGCCGGTCCTGGCCCATGCACCGCTGCCGGTAGTTGAGGCAGCTGCGGTTGAAGGTCCGCAGTCCGGTGCTGCCTTCGCGCAGCCGGTTCGAGGGTCCGTAGAGGCATCCCGAGTCACATTTGCTTGCCTCGCCCCACGCACTCCAGTTGGTGACTCCCGGCAGCTCGTTGCCATCCAACGGCTTGGGGTGCTCGCTCAACAGTGGACCGATCCTGTTGGACTCCATGAAGCTGGCCTTCTCATAGCTCGGCTTGTGCGGCCACTGCCTGTAGGAGGCCAAGGCGGTCTCCTGCGACGAGCGAGCCACACAAGACCCACCGCGGCACCACTAAAAAAAACCACAGGGATGAATGGTTGTCCATTGCAATCTCTTCCATTCTTACCATTTTCTCGCCGCACTCGGTTCCCTCCAGCGCCGGATGTGAGGTCCAGGGCAGCCCATCCTGCCGACAGTGCAGATCCCGGCAGATCTCCGCTTTACTCTGGGTGCTGGAGCGCATGAAGTTCTTTCCAAATCGCAGCATACACTGCTGATTGGCATCGAAGCGTTCGCCGGGGGGAATCCCACCCGCAGAATGGTCCAAGTGATCCATAAACTGTCCCCGATCGAAGAGGCACTCGGCCTGGGGCTCTCTAAATGGATTAATATTTAAACTCGTTCGGAGATTTATGCTCTTCAAGGACTTACAATAAGAAATCCTCCAGATAGGTGCGGGAGCACTTGGACCAGGTGACCTTTCCACTGCCCAACTTTGGCGACATGATGTGCATGGTGGGATCGCAGCTATTCTCCTTGGTGTCATGCCGCATTCCCAGACTGCAAAGGAGTTCAATTTCGTTAGAATAACTCTTAAGAGGGTTTGTTGAGAGGACCACTCACTTGTGTCCGATTTCATGGGCTACCACAAAGACGCTCTCAAAGTGCTTGGCCTCGTTGATGGTGCAGGAGGAGACGGCCGTGCACATACCGGCCACGGGTGCCAGACCCACGACCTGGCTATTGGCCTTGCCATCTTTGGTGATCGTCCGCAGGTCGAGGCCGGTGAGGATGAGGGCATGATCGTAGTGCAGGGGATGCGAGTCCGAGAAGGGATTCAGCTTCTCCTGCCACATGCAAAAGCTGTTCAGGTAGTCGTCCACGTCGCTGGAGCGCGACAGGCCGGAGGGATCCCAGGATTTCCAGATCTCCAGACGCTTCAGCACAAAGTTAATGCGCCGCCCGAGCGTGGGGTGGTGGTAGAGCAGCTGCACCCCATTAATCATGGCCAGGACGAAGCTGATCATCTTGCTCTCTGTGTTGGCGGGGAAGTTCCGCTGCATGTGGGCGAACAGATCTCTGTCCACGAAGATGGCCGTCTCGATGAACAGCTCCTCGGGCACTGACCAGCGGCGTGGCGGCGGGCCAATGAAACGACGACGTCGTCGATGCTTCTGATGATTTTTTAGATTCGGTTTCAGATTCCTTTTCTGGTTCTCGAGCTGGCTCATCTCATGATGATGATGTCGCGGCTGGAAGCGCAGTCGTAGCGGGGACTGTGACTGGGCTCGGAGTCTCGGCTTCGGTTCGTTGAATTCCTCTGCATCTGGCTCGAACTGCAGCTGGCTGTCTAACGGATCCACTGCCCCCAACCGACTGAAATTGTTCCTATCCAAGCGGGCCTGGTAGAGTACATGGTTACCCGATCCGAAGCGAGCGGGTAGAGGATGGATCACAAAGTCGCTGGCATTCTGCTGGAACACGCCACGCTGCCAGAGGGAGGAAAAAAAGAGCGTTGATGTCTGTCTGGGATTTGGATCAGCCTGTCACACTCACCGCATTACCCGTCTCGCAGAGGTCGAGGGCCGCCGCCGGACTCCGGTAGAAGCAGCTCTCCAGACGCTTCAACAACTGCGGCGAATGCTCCACGAATTGCGTCCCGTTGGCGGTGCGACGGATGAAGATGAAGGCATTGTCGATCAGCTGCGGCGCCTGCTGCAGCTGCAGTCTGGCCTCCACTCCATCCCCTTCCCCATTTCCATCGGAGCTATCGGCGTCTGTCGAATGCATTTGAATTAATTAAACTTTTCGCATAATGACCGCAACTGGAGCAGCACGAGCTCTGCTCAGCAGCTGTGTCTGTGTCTGTGTCCATGTGTGATGTGGGATGCATTTTATTTGGTTTTCGGATTTCAGTTTAATCATTTCTCACCTTGTGGCACTGGCATGCTGCGTCTATGGCGTCGTTTCACCGTGTTCTCCTCCAGCTCTTCATCCTCCTGCTTCAGGTGCACCAGCTTGAAATCGGGCGCTGAAATAAAGAATGCCCCACACATGAATCAATACAAACAACTGCGCAGATTTCCGCGACCACCCAAGGCCCCATTCCTCATGACCCATTCCCCCCACTCCCAGTTGCAGTCTGCCACCTGCTGCCTGCACTGGAGACTGTAGTTCAAGTTTAGCATTCATCGATTGCACTGTTTGTCTGGGCTAGCCGATTTAATGATATGTTGCAGTGCCTCAAAACTGTCAGTGGGTTTATGGGTTACGCTCCCCCAAAGCTGTCAGTGGGTTATGGGTTACGCTCCCTCAGAGCTGTCAGTGGGTTCTGGTTTAGACCTCACCCACTGCCAGCACCCAAGTGGGTCATAGTTAAGAATCTTTACAATCTACTTGGCCTAAGGAACTATGGAAATATCTATTGTTACGGATAGCACTTACCTTCTTCAGCGGATTGTGTGCCAAAGATCAGGGCCCGCTCATGATCCATCAAGTGCCCCAGCAGTGTGTTCTCATCCAGCTACGGAAGGGAAGAGTGGAGGAAAAAGAAAGGAGAACGAATATTATGGCAAACCGAAAGAGCAATGAAAAATGTTTAATATGCAAAGCGGAAAGTGTAACAAAGGCAACAAACCGTAAAAACAAACCGAAAAACAGAGCAAAGGGTAAGGGACTACTCAAGATTACCCCAAAAAACAAAAATAAAACCAAAATACTTTCACTCAGACAATGGAAAATTTGTACCAAAAGAAGAGCCCCAATTAGACATTTCCAACAGCTGTTCGTTGGGGTCACCATCAGGTGGCGGTGACCACCGACAGTCCGTAAACTGTTGGTGCAACACAAAAATTTGTATATCGTACATGGTACACCAAACTGTATAGTCCGAGTATCTATCCAAATGTCGGATATATCTTCTCCACATATTGTTTGTGCGATTATTTAATTTAATTTGTTGTAACAGTTTTCATTTGGCTTTACGAGTATTCGGTTTTATTGTGGAAAAGCGCGTTGGTGCCTGGCGGAGCGTGAAGAGCGTTTCGGTATTTTGGATTGAAACTCCGCCTACGGCGGCGAGGAGAAGGTGTTACAAATTGTTGTAGTCGCTGGTGTTTCTGCTGGCAAATGTTTATAATCAGCACTGTAATGCTGTGCGAAAGAGGCGTGGCTGGTAGTTAAAGCTAATAATATTTGAGGAATAGTTTCGGGGCAACAGATTACTGGGGATCTCCCAGATATATAGAGCATTATTTTGGATCTGTTTTTGGTTACATTTCAAAAGGCGATCGATATATTGACACAAAGTTTCTGAAGACCCTTTAAAAGAGTTGAACCTTCTTAAATTTCCCCTAGTCTTGGTCGTTTTCCCCATATAGACCTGTACCCTTTTTTGTTCCTGCCTCGAACCCATCTCTTACCTCACTCCCTGGCCAATTTTGTTGCCTGAACTTTATCAAAGACAAACAATGTTCAATGAAATGGACACTAATTGGCTACAAGGGCAACGGCATAATAGGTCCAAATCAACATGAAAGAGCCGATTCAGATTGCCGGAAAAGCCCAAAAGCCAAACAAACAGCAACAATACCAAATGACAGCCGCAGCAGACAGGGAAACTGTGGAAAATGCATCGCTCACGGAGCTCATGGAGTAATCGCTCTCAAACAAACTGATTATGTGATGAAATTTTGCGTGACCCATAGCCAGAATGGGCAAAAATAAAAGGCAAATGGAAAAGCGGAAAGCCAGACAAAATAGTGGAAAAATAGCGAAAACTAGAAAACAAACAAATGAAAATTATATCATAGAAAATTGTCTTCAAAGCAATTTGGCGACAGAGGAGTATGGACAACCAACAGAGGAAGATCTGTAGAGAGTACAATCACATAACCATGAGCGTAACCAAGCGAAAGGTTCTCAAGTGCGACCATATTCTATGTGTGTATGTGTCTATAGTAGTTTCTTATAAGGAAGGGTTAACAACTTGGATGGACTGACGATCTTCTGTCTAGTTTCTTGTTCTTTATTTCATTTTGGCAATATCTGAGAATTCCTCGTGGCCTAGACAGCTGCTACTGCTGTCCAGCCAGCTGCTGCGGCGATTATCCATGCGATTCCGGGTAATCATGTGATGTGCTGCATTCCTTTTGGCTGTCGCAGACCTCTCCAGCAGCCGTGGAGATGCTCCAACGCCTCAACTCAAATTATAGAGAAGACGTGGGGATTTCTTTTTTTTGAGACATGTGTAATTTGACAAGTTGTCGCCAATTTTATGTATGTTCTTTAGGTTGCCGGTGGCTCCAATTACCAAAACATTTGCCAACACCCAATTGGGCAGAGGTCATTAAACGCCTCGGATCTTGTTACTGTGCTATAAAGATACCCCTCGTTTCCACCACCCCTTGATGTTTTTTCAACATTTTATGCTTAGCTTTGCCAAACTATTGTTGAGTCAGAGAATAATTGACACTCTTTCGGAGGGAGGGTATACTTCTTTTGGCCAATATATCTTTTGGAATTTCTGTTCTATCAGCTGTAAGCTGTTCAACCAAACCTTTTATTAGATGACAATGAAATCTAATAAAATGCGACATAAATGTACATATATTATATATATATCATACATATGTATGTAGTTACCACCGTGGTAATCGATTTAAAAGAGTATCTGAAGCTTGGACAACCTCTATTTTTTTTTATTTTGTTCATGTGTAATTTTGTTGCCTTCAATGTTCTGTCAATGTGGCAGTTTTTTGTTCTTTTTTACATATATGATGATCACCTGTTCGAGTTATATGGGTTAATCGTATGATGTATGGCATATCGTACGACAGTAAGACAATGAAAATATTGATATCAATCACGACGACTCACCTCAATGCCATTCCACTGCAAGCTCCTCTTGCGGCGTAGCTCAATGTGGACGGAGGAGGGGGAGTGGGACTGGGTGGATGGTTGGGAGTCGTCATCATAGTTGTGGGGGCTAACAGGAGCGATTAGCAGCCACAAGGTGGTCAGACCTATTAAGATCCAAATATGACAGATCCATCGGCGATTAGATACCATTGCTGAGACAGTCTTAACGATGTAATTTTCGTTGTAATACTCTTTTGTACTTTGGGTAGCACTAATCACTCTATTGTTGGTGCAACAGGCGGTGGCAAGTGGCGAATGTTGCACAAATTGCAAATACAAATATTATTCCTTGGCTTTGCAGCCTAATTTCATAATTTTTTGCTGGTGATTCGCTTGGAGTTACATTTTCTTTTTGGTCTGCGAATAATTTCAACGGGGGAAAATTACAAATGGTTTCTTGAACGAGTGAAAAGTGAAGGCGCTTAGCGCTTCTCCTCTTTGTCTGCTCCAACTTTTACGGCAGTTAATTTAACTTTTTATGCACTAATTAATTGGCAAGGCATTGCATTACCCTCTCGCCGCTCCGCTCGTTCAGCGGGTGATTTGTATTTGGGGCACACTTGATTTCATGCACATTTTACATTGATTATTTTTTTATTTAGTTTGTTTCCTGAGTTCTTTGTGAAGTGATTACCACTCCAGATAAGGCATAAACCTCATAAAATGTACTCAACCCACGAGCTTGTTGATGGTACAAGGTCCTCCAGTATCAGTATTATTATCGATATCAGGGAACAAGCGCCACGTTCTGTTTTAAATATAATGCCTGTCTTTTGTTTTCACATTTAGACGCATTTATTTTGATTTAAACGCCAGAGCCAGAGCACAATTAAGCGCACACACACAGATCATAGTCTCTGAAGCATAACGCTCTTTCGTCCAAATGGTGTTTTATTTTATTGGTTATTTTTCATATGTATGTTTGTATATTTTCCATATGCAAATCACACTCACAACTGAAACGTTTATAAACAATTTGGCGGAGGTCAATGCGCACTCAATGGATCCGCCATCAGAGGTCCACAATATGAAGGATTTACCGTAGTGTTCTCAGCGATCGGGAATGAAAGAAATACTATGGGAGCGAGTTGTACGAGAGCGAGCCCCAACCGACCTTCCGCGACGGCTCCACTTTTGCGAATGAAATGTTCACAGAGCGCGGAAAACATGATGAGACAGGCACGATCATGAATCTTTTTGGTGTTGCTTTTTTCCCCGTTCTCGCTCCATACCCACACTCACAAACACATGCAGAAGTATGCTAATGAGCCAAAGCGCCGGAAGAATAGTAGAAGACCGTTAAGAAAAAGCAAAGGGCTAAAAAAAAACAAAAGAGCTGGCAAAAAAAAAAAACAGGCGGCAATTGTTTTTGTGGTCAAGTGCTTGAAAATGATGGAGCAGACGAAAACTTGACACTGATCATCACAGCAACAGGTCGGATAGCAAGATAGCAAGGCAAGAATTATGCTGCATTTCCGCCAAGCAGATTTGATGTTGTACAGGAAATCTTAAATCAGCGAATGCAAATACAAAGGTACAGAACAGAGCAACAAACAATCGGACAAGACGCCAATTGAAGTGATCAGATTTTAATTGATGCAATCAATGGCTGATGCAACAGCCTGTGGCAACGATAAATCACACACTGTCAGAACCACTAACAAGCCTTCAATCAAATCGATGGCTAAATTAACAAGCATACGAAGAAAATGCAAGCTCTTATCATTCACGAGCGTTAAAATTTAAATTTGATATCGATAGTCAGTTAGTTTGTTCTATCGTCTATCTATCGTCATCGATAGACAAATTGCAGAAGTAGGGGTATTCTTAAAAAAAAAAAATTGTTGTTTTCAGTAAAGATTTATTGGTCAATTACTTGGCATTTATATATTTTATGATGCTCTTTCGTATACAAGTTTGTAAAAAATAATCAAATCAATTATATCAATGCATGAATGGGGTAAAAGTACGTTTCAAGTCAGCTCGAAAAACAATTTTATTATTAATTAAATGAAAGAGGGTATATAATGGTATATTTTGTCAATTTCATCAATCTATTAAATTTTATTTTCAACTTTATATAGAAATCCAATAAAAGAAAGTATTTAGAATAAACCAGTTAAGTAGAAAATTGATTCCTTAATCGTATAAAATTATGTGGGCACGGCTAAATATTCTATATAGCTTGTAATATACGTCGGAATATCAAAAACGAGGAATATGTAATGTATGAGACCGTATATTTTGGTATTTATTTGAATCGGTTAGAATCGGTAATAGACGGTTCGCAGCAATGCACACATACCCTGGGGGAAATGGATGTTATAGAATTGTGAATATATTTGTCATCCCAGGCAAAAAAAATTTATTTTCAATATATTTTAATATTATTCAATATTATTTAATATTATTTTCAATATTTCAACGATATTTTAAAGCTTATTGTCTTCTTGTAGGGACCAAGAATAGGCATCAGGATCAAGATATATATACAAAACACTCATCATATACATGTCTTTATTAGTTACGTTTTATCTTCATATCAATATTTATACATTCATATAAAATTAACAAAATAGGGTATACAAATGCCTATACTACGGCTTACACGCAATATAGCGACTCTTTCTTTGTTGAACTTTTTCGTTAATAAAAGCAAGGATTAAAAAGTATCCAATCTTGTAGAAAATTTATTCATCAATGGGATAAAACTTTGTGGGCATTGCTGAGAGATTTAGTTAGTCAGCATTATTCAATTTTATTTTTATTTTATTTATTTTTTTACCATTTACCATTTTTGCTGAAACCTCTTTTTACGCAAAATGCAATAAAAGCAAGTGTTTAAACTAAGCCAGTTAAGTAGAAAATTAATTTATGAATCGGATAAAATTATGTGGGCAGTGCTAAATGTTCTATCTGGCTATAATATTTGACGGAACATTAAAATTAGGCAATATGGTTTCCAATCCTTGATTGAGAACGATTAACCTATTATAAGCCAAGGGGGTATTTAAATTTTCCACCGAAAATAATGAAAATTTAATCATTTTAGCGCAGTTCAGGTGGAGTTTGTGGTGTTTTTTGCAAGTTTAAGGGAAGGATAGGATGGATCTACAAGAAGAATTCACAATCGTTCTTAGTTTTCGCCATTTACCTCAAGTAGCTGAAATATTTAAATAAAGGGCGCTGAAGTGGGCTAAGTTCGAAAAATATACCTTGAATTCGACAGTATATTTACGGTATATTTGTAAAATCATACGGTATTTTTTGGTATATTTCTGAGGGTCAGCCGGTATATTTTAAAATAAATTCCGTTCCGCTTATCGCACGAAAACATCGATAAGCTTAAACTCTTTATATCGATATTCCCAGACCCAAGTAGCACTTGCATAGCCTTTCAAATTCAAACTGCAATCTTCGCTTCGCATCGTGCGGCCATCGAATGGGCCAATCATGTATAGAATTGATTCATCAATCGTACAAAATTGAGTGGGCATGGCTAAATGTTCTATATAGCTAATAATATTCCACAGAATATCAAAAACGAGCAATATGGTTTCCAGTCCTTGATGGAGAACGATTAACCTATTATAAGCCAAGGGGGTATTTAAATTTTCCACCGAAAATAATGAAAATTTAATCATTTTAGCGCAGTTCAGGTGGAGTTGGTGGGGTTTTTGCAAGGATAGGATGGATCTACAAGAAGAATTTACAATCGTTAATAGTTTTCCCCATTTACCTCAAGTAGCTGAACTATTTAAATAAAGGGCGCTGAAGTGGGATAAGTTCGAAAAATATACCTTGAATTCGTCAGTATATTTACGGTATTTTTTGGTATATTTCTGAGGGTCAGCCGGTATATTTTAAAATAAATTCCGTTCCGCTTATCGCACGAAAACATCGATAAGCTTAAACTCTTTATATCGATATTCCCAGACCCAAGTAGCACTTGCATAGCCTTTCAAATTCAAACTGCAATCTTCGCTTCGCATCGTGCGGCCATCGAATGGGCCAATCATGTATAGAATTGATTCATCAATCGTACAAAATTGAGTGGGCATGGCTAAATGTTCTATATAGCTAATAATATTCGACGGAAGATCAAAATTGAGCAATATGGTTTCCAGTCCTTGATGGAGAACGATTAACCTATTATAAGCCAAGGGTGTATTTAAATTTTCCACCGAAAATAATGAAAATTTAATCATTTTAGCGCAGTTCAGGTGGAGTTGGTGGGGTTTTTGCAAGGATAGGATGGATCTACAAGAAGAATTTACAATCGTTAATAGTTTTCCCCATTTACCTCAAGTAGCTGAACTATTTAAATAAAGGGCGCTGAAGTGGGATAAGTTCGAAAAATATACCTTGAATTCGTCAGTATATTTACGGTATTTTTTGGTATATTTCTGAGGGTCAGCCGGTATATTTTAAAATAAATTCCGTTCCGCTTATCGCACGAAAACATCGATAAGCTTAAACTCTTTATATCGATATTCCCAGACCCAAGTAGCACTTGCATAGCCTTTCAAATTCAAACTGCAATCTTCGCTTCGCATCGTGCGGCAGAGCCTGACTCTTGACAAAAAAAAATCAGAAACTTAGTCACTTTCGACTTAACAATTGTAAATTATATTATCAAATAATTTAAAATCGCTCACATATAAGTCGGTGACTGAAAAACAATTTGCGTTTCGAATTCAAATCGACGCGCTAACAAGACCAAGGAAAAGATAACTAAAGCGTCGCTTCGTGTGTGTTAATTGTATATTTGTTTAAAAACCCAGTCAAAATGGTCGGCACATTGAAAATGCGCGGGGATGAGGTAAGTTTTCTAATGTTTAATAATTTTCATAGCGACATGATAGAAAAGGGCCGATAGCGACGCAGGGACGCCATTGCTGCATCGGCAGAAGGGAATGAGGGAATAGAGTGCGTGAGAGAGTGTGAAGAGTGGAAGAGAGAGAGAGAGAGGGTGAGAATGTTCCGTTTGTCAATCTCTTTGTTGTTTTTTCCATGCCAGCCGCGGGTGCATTTTGGCGCACTTTTACAATTGCGGTACTTTTACCGCTTATCACTCTCTAGTTTACCCACTAAATCTCGGAACATTACGGTTCTTTGCAAAAATGGCCGCCGGCCATTGCCATTTAATGTATTTTAGTAAATGGATATAAATTGTTTTTGTAGAATGCCTCGGAGAATATAAACCAGGTCCAACTTAAGAAATTGACAGTGCCTTCAAATGAGGCAACCACAAAACGTGCTGCTTTGGGCGATCTGCAGAACCGCGGGTTGAACCGCGCCATTGCCGCCAAAGATGTGGCCCAGAAAGAGTAAGTGCAGCTCCCATTCCAGTGCAACCGCTTGCTTATTGCGGACCGCTTCGATTCTCCTTGCAGATTGAAAGAATCGAAGCTGCCGAATGTGTTGCGCAACGCCAAGGCCCGCGTGGACACGCACTGGAAGAAGCAGCCAGTGGGTGCCAGCAATGTCAACGGTGCCGTGCTGGCCAAGCCCACTGAGGGTGGAGTGGCGGCACTGCTGCGCGCCAACTCTGTACGCACCCATACCGCCCCCTCGGGTGTTCTGCTCACTCGTCAGGTCTCGGCCAGCACCCTGATCCGTGGCGATAAGGCGGCCGCTGAGGCGACCAACAAGCGTAAGTATCGATTGCCAATCAAGTCCAAGACCATATCCCAATCCCAAACAGTTACAGTCAAGACAAAGTCGGAGACCGGCTCCAGCGATCAGGTCAATGCGCCTGAGCCCACATTGCGTCGCGAGGACAGCAATCTGTCCAAGAAATCCCTGACCAAGCTGCGGGCTGCAATGGGCAAACCAGTGATGGGTGTGGCCGGTCTGAGGAAGGAGCCTGTGGCCGTGCTCAAGAAAGAGCCATCTGTGGCCATCAAGAAGGATGTCGTCGGTCCGGTCCGGAGCGAAAGCACCGACAGGGGTGCCATACTGAAGCCATCGACAACCATTCAGCCTTCAATGTCCTTGTCCAGCAAGCGATTGGCCGGTATCGAAGACATCGATGCCCACGACAAGGATAACCTCGTGCTCGTTTCAGAGTATGTCAACGATATCTATGACTATCTGTACAAGCTGGAGATCGAGCAGCCGATTCACAACGATCACTTGGCCGGGCAGAAGGAGGTCTCCCACAAGATGCGCGCAGTGCTGATCGACTGGATCAACGAGGTGCACTTGCAATTCCATCTGGCTGCCGAGACCTTCCAGCTGGCCGTGGCCATCATCGATCGCTATCTGCAGGTGGTCAAGAATACGAAGCGCAGCAATCTGCAGCTGGTGGGCGTGACGGCCCTCTTCATCGCCACCAAATACGAGGAGCTCTTCCCGCCAGCCATTAACGACTTTGTCTTCATCACCGATGACACCTACTCGGCCCGGGAGATCCGCATGATGGAGCTGCAGATCTTCAAGGCCATCGATTGTAATCTGTCGCGTCCGCTCCCGATTCATTTCCTTCGGCGCTACTCAAAGGCCGCTGGGGCAGAGGATGAGCACCATGCCATGTCCAAGTATTTTGTGGAATTGGCTTCGGTCGACTACGATTTGGCTAGCTATAAGCCGTCAGAGGTGGGTTCGGCACACAGACTTCAATCATGTAATGTCATAATGTTTTCCATGTTTCTTTCAGATTGCTGCAGCCTCGCTGTTTCTGTCGCTCCACTTGCTCAATGGCAACTACCGTGCCAGCACTGGCTTCAACGACAAGCACTGGACACCGACGCTGGCCTACTACTCTCGCTACACGGCCACGCACTTAAGGCCCATCACTCGACAGATCGCCAAGTTGGCTCGCGATGCACCACAGGCCAAGCTGAAGGCCATCCACAACAAGTACCAGGGCAACAAGTTCCAGAAGATCGCGCTCAGAACCGAGCTGAGCGGCCCCCTGATGGACTCCATTGTGGGCCAGAGCCTGAAGAAGTAGTCTGGGCCCACTTCACATCCCCTCACAAATGCCCCCAAATATTTAGTTTAGTTTAATTTGTTTTCATTTTTAAATTTTTAGCGTATTCCCATATTTTCGTTCGTTTGTACGTTTCGTGTTCGTTATAAGTTTGTGTAATACCAGAAGTCCAAGTCGCCTACATTTATAATAATCGTAGAAAATCAGGGTCCCTCTGCTGTGCGTCCCGCGTTTGTGTCATGGCCGCCCCGATGCGATCAACGACAAAGGCATTCTTCACTTGATTATGGTTCGGTTCCTCCAACTCGAGCGGCTGCTTCAGCCCCTTGGCTAGGTGGCCGCTGAATGGGAGGGATCTTGAACCGAAACTGGAACTCCTGCTCCTCCCCCTAAGGGCACACCTCTAGAGTGAGAGTGAGTGGACGAGCACAAACCGCAATACACAATACACAAGGACACTGAGAGCCAGGTGTGTGAGTGGGCAACGAGTACATTTGCTGGCTGAACATATCGGCGTTGTCTCTCAAAGTACATATACCATCTAATATATTATACCCATGCGATAGACTATTTTTATGATTCAATTTGTATTAGAGTTTAAATTTGATTGGAAATTGTGTTCGTTCAATGCATTAAGAATAAATCCAAAAAATTGTGCAAAAATATTATATTCTTCCAAATCCTGAGCTGAGACTTTATAATCTAGGCATAATAGATGTAATGGATTTCACACATCTAACAAATTATTTAATTGCATAATTTAAGCAAGGAATAACACAATTCTTTCCAGCGAATGTCGTGGCAAATAAAGTTTTGTATTGTATAATTTTAAAAAGTACGCAATTTTTTGACATATGTATGTATGTATCCTCAATCTCCGAGGACGGCAGCGGCAGCTGATTCCAACTGTGAGAACGAAATCTCAGGCAGGCGCTAGACAGACCCTTTCCATTGTCCTGGCTTATCAATGCTCCTGAACACACAGAGGTGGAAAAGGTCACCTTCCCGATCACAGGTCAGTTTTTCGTCTTCTGCTTTCCCTTCCTTCTGCCAACGGCTTCATTTCTCATTTCGTTTCTTTTCCATTATGCTGCTGTGTCGTTCCATTGGAAACGGTAATTGCCCAAGCACATTGCTCGCACGTGTCTCTGTGTGTGTTTGCGTGTGTGTGCGGGGTGTCACTGTGTGCATGGGTCTCTTCATTCGTCGCTTCCAGACCGAACCGTTGTTCCGTGCCCATACCATTCCGTTCTCCACTTTCTGGATTTGCTGTGCGCCTGTTCGAAATTTAAGTTTGACGGTTTTATGGCTCTCATTAATTTCGACACTTTTACGGTCAAACAAATGCAATAAAAAGAAAGTAGACCCCGTCTGGCCGAGGGGGGCGGAGCACACAAGCACAAAGGAGAAGAGATATATAAAAAGAGAGCGGAAGAGAGGAGTGTGTAGGCCCGCCAGAGTAATGTATTTTTTTGCCATTTGTTTGGCTCTGACTCTGCCTCCGCTCATATTTTATTTTGGATGCCATGCCACCGCCGTGTCATAAAAACTCCAATTCGTATAATTTGGGGGTTCGTTTCAGTTTCTGGACGGGCACAGGCGCTTAGGTTTCCTTGCTCTCGTTTCTGGGTCGCTGGTTGAGAAATATGCAGAGCATGAACCACCACTGAACCACTGGAACAGCTCCTGACAGTCGCTGCCTCAGGTAACATACGCGGGGTGGCCTGGGGTCAGGTCAGAGGGAGGTTATGCAAAAGACGGAACATCTTTCGACAGGGGAAGAGCAGCTGCTGATGGATCAGCTGAGAGCGAAGTCTCAGCTTAAGTAGTCCATAGTACTTATAATCTTTATGTTATTATATCGTCTCATATTATTGGCTTGACAAAAGATTTCGTGGAACATTTAGATAATAAGAATATTCCGAATTCTAGACTTTTGATCAAGCTGAACAAAAGGACTAATACCAAGGACTTTTGGAAGGTAAGTTAATTGAAACACTATTTAATATCTTCCACCAAACTTTTATAAAACTCTCATAAGAATACATATAAATAAATAGCCTTAATTTTCAGGTCCTGTATTCTTTGATACTCATACGCAAACAGCATAGGAATATATTATTACCGCCCTCTACTTATTCTTATTATTAAGAGAATCTCTTTGGGATCTTCTTGTCTGTGGCAAAATTCAAATAAAGACTACATTGCGCTTTCTCAGAATCTTTTGGCTACGAACAATACCAATCAAAAGGTGTAAATCTTCAAAGAATGAAATAAATATAGCTCCTTTGATAGTTCTTCGTTTAAAGTATAATTTAGTATCGTTTTTATTTCATCATCGTTTCACAATCATCCACAGACAGTATTCGACTATTCTCGATTACAATATTTAAAATATTGATTACACAATTTTTTAGGGTAGAAGAACAATGCAGGATTATCATTATCATTATCTTATGGTTGGAAGAACCACACGGATGTCGCTGAAATTCGAAACTGGATCCGTCCATTCCGTGCCCCGTCCGCCGCCTTCCGCCTGCTCTCCCTCTCTCCCAAGATTTGTGGCATTTTGTGGCGTTGGGCGACGTGTCGGGGCACGGAGCTGGCTGGAAACGCAGGAAAACATGAATGCGCAAAAGGGTTTTCTTTTGTTTTGTATAATTTGGTTTATCTTAAGTTGTAGTGTAGGCTTCTTTATGATGTTATTCTTGATTATTAGATCTGCGCGCGGCAATGGGCAGTAATGAAATTGTTAGGGGACTTTCGACTTAGACAATATTCTACTTTATTGATCTTGCTTTTAGGGTAATCTCTCCGCCGCATCTAAGATGTTAAACCGCGCGGTTGACTGATGTTACAATTTCTAACCCTGGAAGGTGGCCAAGAACTTGGAAACAATATCCTTCAGCTTGGCATCGGTGGCCTCAGAGATAGCGCCCTCCTTGGCAATGGTGTCGAGCAGACCCTGCTCGCTGGTCTTCATGAGCTGCAAGAACTCCTTCTCGAAGTTGGTGATCTTGCCGGGGTCCATCTTGTCCAAGTAACCGCGCACGCCGCAGTAGATGACAGCAACCTTGAGTGGAAGGAGAGATTAGAGACACATCGCAGAGGGTGCATCAATAGGCTACGCACCTGATCCTCAATGGCCATGGGCACGTACTGTCCCTGCTTGAGCAGCTCGGTCAGACGCACACCACGGTTCAGCAGCTGCTGGGTGGAGGCATCCAAATCAGAACCGAACTGGGCGAAGGCAGCGACCTCACGGTACTGAGCCAACTCCAGCTTCATGGAGCCGGCAACCTGCTTCATGGCCTTGGTCTGGGCAGCGGAGCCGACACGGGAGACAGAGAGACCGACGTTGATGGCGGGACGGATACCCTTGTAGAACAACTCGGTTTCCAAGAAGATCTGGCCGTCAGTGATCGAAATGACGTTGGTTGGAATGTAGGCGGACACATCACCGGCCTGGGTCTCAATAACGGGCAGGGCAGTCAGGGATCCACCTCCCATGGCGGGGGACATCTTGGCGGCACGCTCCAAGAGACGGGAGTGAAGGTAGAACACATCACCGGGGTAGGCCTCACGACCTGGGGGACGACGCAGCAGCAGAGACATCTGACGGTAGGCGACGGCATGCTTGGACAAATCGTCGTAGATGATCAGAGCGTGCTTTCCCTTGTCGCGGAAGAACTCGCCCATGGCGCAACCGGAGTAGGGAGCCAGATACTGCAGGGGAGCGGCATCCGAAGCGGTGGCAGACACAATAATAGTGTACTTCATGGCGCCGGCGTCAGTCAGACGCTTCAGCATCTGGGCGACAGTGGAACGCTTCTGGCCAATGGCAACGTAGATGCAGTACAGCTTCTTGGACTCCTCCTGGGCGTCGTTGAAACGCTTCTGGTTGATGATGGTATCAATGGCCAGAGCAGTCTTTCTGCAAGAGCGGTCGGGTTACAGAGTCAGTTGGAGAAACTGTGGGTAGAGCTCTTCACCACTTACCCAGTCTGCCTGTCGCCGATGATCAGCTCACGCTGGCCACGACCGATGGGCACCAGAGAGTCCACAGCCTTGATTCCGGTCTGCATGGGCTCGCGCACAGACACACGGGGAATGATGCCGGGGGCCTTGATGCCGACACGGAAGCGGTCCTTGGTGTCGATGGCGCCCAGGCCGTCGATGGCGTTACCCAGAGCGTCGACAACGCGACCCAGCAGCTCATAACCGACTGGGACATCGACAATGGCGCCAGTACGCTTGACAATATCGCCCTGCTTGATCAGCTTGTCGTTACCGAAGACGACCACACCGACATTGTCGGCCTCCAAGTTGAGGGACATGCCCTTCAAACCGGAGGAAAACTCCACCATCTCATCGGCCTGCACGTTGTTCAGGCCATAGACACGAGCGATACCGTCACCAATGCTCAGCACACGACCGGTTTCCTCCAGATCGGCCTTGGGCGAAATGCCCAGGATTCTCTCCTCCAGGACGGAAGAGATTTCCGCGCTGCGCTGTGTGCTGGCAACATGGAACTTACGGGCAGCGAGAGTGGAAGCTGGGTACGCAACCTTGCAGGCAATCTGGAAGAGAATAGCAATCGAATCGAGTTCCGGAATTACTAACAATTTCGCTTATGTAAGGCAAGTGTGTGCGGAGGGAATGTGCCGTAGTTGAGTAACCACTACACGAGGGACACCAGCTTTTCATCTGCTCTGTGGTTTTTTACCCACGAATAATAGATACACGAAACTCTACGGTTCTTTTTTTTTACCAATTCTACTCTCCGCACACCCCCTCATGCACTCAACTGCTGGCTCGACACTTGCTGCCTTGCACATAACCTCACACTTTTGGGTACTGCCAACGAGCCGATGGCGAAGCCGACATACCCAAAATTATGTAATATTTCTACACAACAAATGCACCTTGCGCGTTTCTAGTCACTATTACTATGCGATTAGCTACCAAATTGCAATTTCAAGTTCCTAGACATCTTAGCGATAGTTATGTAACAGAGGAGGCCCCATCCGGCCGTTTACGATTTTTGCCGAATTGCGTAACACAAATTCTTGGCCAAAACGCTGAAAAACCAAGCGATCCGCTGGCCGCTACTGGGGAGTCTCCTCCAACCATGCTTTATAATCCATTTCAACTTAGGCTGCACGTTTTCTTCGCCAATTCTCTCGGCAATTGGGTGGGATTATGTATAACTTCTATATGCAAATTTTTCGCCGTGGCTGTTTTTCAGTTTTTAATACCTGTGCGGCCGACTTGGGCAAGGTGCGCGCGACCGACGACGCCAAGCGTGCAGAAATCATCGACATTTTCTATACTTTTTAACTCTTTTGCCGCAGAAAATAATTAAATAATTCCAACACCAACTCCTCTCCTCGTAGACTTTTTCAATAGTGATGTAAGAAAAACATCGATGCATCGAGCATCGAGCATCGATGTTTTTCTGCCGATGTTCACTGATGTTTTCCGATGTTTTTGCTGCTACCGATGTTCAGTGATGCGTCGATGTTTTGCAAAACATCGGTAGTTTAATTTCATATTTGACTTAAAATGAATCAAATTTACTGTAGATGGTATACATTTGTTTAAATATGAAACTGCGAACGGCGTTAACATCATTCGAAGGCAACCCGTTGTGTGTTTGGGAAGGGTACTGTTCAGTCACAGACATATACCTTATTAATATTACAGAATAGACAGTACAATTTCATACACAAATACTCATAAATACAATTGGCCATGTCACTTCATGCCAATGAATATGACGACACGAAAATTACATTAGCAACTAAGAGCACCAAAAAGGGTGAAGCAGTAAACTATTTACTCTATTGCTGCCAAGTATCTAAGTAAATGCACTGAAATGTAACCCCCGCACAGAGTAAGTGTACCCTATCTAAAAATACACTCACATGGAGCCTGTGCGTTCCATCCCATACAATAAGAGTACCACTGCTAGCTATATAAGGAGATCCATTTGTTCAATAAAACTCAGTATCAGAAACACAACTGCCTGTCACTAATTTTCCCATCGCAATCATCAGGTCCTGATTTCGCGGTCATACATCGATGCATCGAAGAATAAATCCGATGTATCAATCCAACATCGATGTTTGATTTTGACAACATCGATGGACAACAAATTTACATCACTAATTTGGTGTAGAGGGACACTATCGATGGTAAGACACTATCGCGCTACTAAATATCGACGGTTCAATGTTTCGATAGTGGGCGATAGTGGGAAGCACAGAATAACCGTGCAAGCGTCTTAGCCCACTAAAGCCCCCTGTATTTAAATAGTTCAACTACTTGAGGTAAATGGCGGAAAATATTACTGATTGTAAATTCTTCTTGAGGATTCATGCCATCTCTACTATAAACTTAAAAAAAAAACCACGATATTTTTCAGCTGAACTGCGCTAAAATGATTAAATTTTCATTATTTTCAGTGGAAAATTGAAATCGTTCTCCGTCAGGATTGGAAACCAAATTCCTCATATTCTTTGTTCCATTGAATATTACCAGCTATATAGAACATTTAGCCATGCCCACTTAATTTTATACGATTGATGAATAATTTCTATACATGATTGGCCTATTCGAAATACTTGCATTTATTGGATTTCTATATAACATTGAAAATTAAATTAATAATTGACAAAAATACCATTTAGCACTAAAAAACACCACATGGGACCGCGGCGAAAACCAGTTTCTACAGTATGACCCTCAGAACAGCACCGAAATATACAAAATATACCGAGTGGTGCGCGCCAAATCTACCTTTTTTGAATGTGAGCGACAAGGATTTAAATGTTGTCGACCGGGCCTTTATCTATGCCCACATAATTTTATACGATTAATGAATAAATTTTTTACTTAACTGGCCAGTTTTTAGTCCTTGCTTTTATTGTATTTTGACTAAACAGGTTTTAAGCAAAAAAGTTCAACAAAAAACAGTTGCAATGTCGCTGGAATTTGAAGACATAACGCTTGTATAGGCCTTTGTACGCCCTTTTTCCTCAATTCTATAACATCCATTTCCCCCAGGGTATGTTAGCAACATGTTTGTGTATGGAATGGGACTCATTTGTTGTGAACCGGTTATTACCGATTCTACCCGTTTCAAGTTCGGTTATCGATACTATCGACTGGTTACGAGTGGTGCGCGCCAAATCTATCTTTTTTGAATGTGAGCGACAAGGATTTAAATGTTGTCAACCGGGCCATTACCGATTCAACAAATACGATTCCCTCAATTTTGTCCTTCCGTCGAATATTCCCAGCTATATAGAATATTTATCTATGCCCACATAATTTTATCCGATTAGTGAATCAATTTTCTAATTTTCTTTTAGCGAAGAAGATCAACAAATGAAACCTAATAAAACGTAAGATGAATTTATTCCGATGAATAATGCTGTCTAACTAAAACCTTTAGCTCTGCCCATATAATTTTATACCATTGATAAATAAATTTTCTACAAGATTGGTTAGTTCTTAATCTTTGATTTTATTATTTATTGACTAAAATATTGTTCAAACAAAATAGTGCAACAAAAAACTGTCGCAATGTTGCTGGTATCTGAAGACATGATGCGTTTATAGGTCTTTCTATACCTTATTTCGTTAATTTATTATGAAGATTTTGTTTTGCGAACAAATTTTCTTAAATTTATATGTTTTAGACATATTTATGCATATGATTATCATCTTGTATTTACATCCTTTTACCTAGTCTTGGTCTTTGTAGACAGATGATGAGCTGTTTAAAAGTTTCATGGATTAGCCCATACATATATTTGATTTATCGGTACAATAAATTTTCTACTGTTGTTTACAGGGACCTTCAGGATTCTACTGAATCTGTATTCAGGTGATTCCCACTAATGTCTCTTCATTAAATCCTCCACGAATGTAAAACTAACGTTCGTAATAATCAATGGTTCTTATCGAAGTACCACTGAAGCGCCAATAAATAATCCCCTGTTGGCATGGGAACACGCAGTAGCTCAGGAATTAGATAAAAGTCCTTGATAATCTGTGGACCCTGCAATATAAATTTCAGATGTACAATTGGTTAGATATAGACGTATAATCTTACCACGTAGGGGCATGAGTGGTTTATGTTACTAAACTGTTTGAAGAGCCCATAGATTATATTAAAAACAGGTTGATTCCGCTTTCTGAAATACTGACAGAAATCAAAGTAAATATCGAAGAGCCAAGGCTTATAGCCGTTTGCCTTTTTGAAAATTCTGCCATGAATTGAAATATTGTTGGTCGGATGTAGTATCGTCCCATTCATATTGAGGAGCACTTTGTTTCGACTGATGGCCTTCAGACGATAGTTGTGGAACACGAACCATGATTGGTTGTAACTCTCGCAGACGAAGTTTGTAAACTTAAAGACGACGGCATCCTGAAAACTTGGTTCAATATTGTCCACTTTAATAGTATTATCCATATATTTACGTTTATATTGATGTGGAATGTTAGGAATAATCCGAGAAGCGCAGAGATAATCAGCTGGCAACGCATTGTTCCTGCTCTTGAGGGCACAATAAAATTTGAATGACACGAACGTGTTATTTTATGCTGTGTTCATTTATGCATGGTAGAGTTAAATTGCTTTAATTACTCTAAACGCTGATTGAACACTAATAACCTATAGTTATAAAGATATCCGATCTTCTGCATAATCCATTCTTGCTTTAATTTCACTTTTGTGGCTTCTTATCGAAGTACCACTGAATTGTAAATAGATAAACACAGGGTAGCCGGGACAGAAGCAATAAACAATAATGAAATTTCTACAAATATTCCACCAATTACGGATGGCTGGCGGGACCCCCGCGGGACTTCTGCAATTGAACAGCTGATTGCAGGTTGGTTTTGTTTCGTTCCGTGAAAAGTGTTGGTGCTTTCACAGATTTAGGTCAATGGCGGAGATGCTATGTTAAATCGCATTAACTAATAATAAATAACCAATACTTTAAAAAGGACAACAGGGCTCAAATAATAGACCTGTTTTCAGAAGACTGGGAGCCGACATTAAGAACCCCAGCTTTAAAGTTCAAGATAAAGAAATATTTGCGATTTACAATGTTCCGCATTTGATTAAATCGCTAAGGAACATTGTCCGAAATAGAAATCTGTATACCCCTGATGGCGTTCTTTCATGGAAAATAGTCGAAGAACTGTATGAAATCGATTACAGAAATTAACAACAAATCATATATATCCAAATAGCTTTGAAAAAATGAAGGTCAAATATGCCACTCAAGTGTTTAGCCAAAGTGTGGCCGCTGCTCTTCGAACAATGATTAGTTCTGGAGGCTTCTTAAAGTGCATTTATTGAAAAAATTAATAGATTATTCGACTGTCTAAATAGTAATGTCCTCTACGATAAAAACCCATTTAGGGTTTTAGGTGCACTGCAAGACAAAAATCTTGTCAATGAGACCCTGTCGGATATGCGAAAATATTTTGAAGAATTTAAATATCCACAGGAAGTCTACTTTCATTGGCCCAAAATGTTTGGAGTGAAAGTGCTGAAGTTTTTTATATTGCTACATCCAAATTATTTAATCAAATCTCGCGTACTGCGTCAGTACTCTGGGGTACTGAACGCGCTAGCCAGTGTGTGACGCCTTCGTTGTATGAACTGGCACATCTATATACTGTATGATTAGTGGCAGAATCTAGGTTATAAATTAATATTGTTAAAAAAATAGATAAATAAGAAAATATAACATGAATATAATATGAAAGTGTAACGTAGTCATGAGGGAGTAGAAAACGGTAGTTGGGTGGGACGAGAGCGAGAAGAAGAGCGGGACCCTGAATAGGAAAAGGGAGCGCGCGAATTCAAAAAAAGGCGCTCATGGAAGGGTGGGTAGTTCCACGCCATCTTTCTTCCGAACTTAAAAAAAGCACCCCATCTTTCATCTGAACTGCGTTAAAATTATTCGATTTTCATTATTTTCAGTGGAATATTAAAATGCCCCTTGGCGTATAAAAGGTTAATCGTTCTCCGTCATTGGAATTCCTCGATTATGATATTCCGTCGGATAATATTAGCTATATAGACCATTTAGCCATGCCCCCATAATTTTATCAGATTAATTAATAAATTTTCTACAAGATTGGTTTGGTTTTTAGTCCTTTCTTTACTTTTATTTCCGGTAAAACAAGGCTTAAACAAAATAGTTCAACAAAAAAAAATGGCGCAATGTTGCTGGTATTTAAAGACATAATGCGTGTATAGGCCTTTTTATACCCTATTTCGTTAATTTTATATGAAGATAAACGTAATTTATAAGGACCTCTTCCCAAATTTATATGTTTTAGACATATTCTTGCATCTGGTTATTATCTTGTATTTATATCCTTTTACCTATTCTTGGTCTTTGTAGATAGACGATGAGCTGTACAATATCGTTGAAATAGGTTGAAAATTGGGACAATTATCAAAAAAACACAAGCAATAAAAGTCAGAAATAATCATTATTCAATCAAAATCAAGAATAACAATTATAATAAAAATTATACAAATAAAAAAAAAAAAATAATAATTATTCAATAAAAATCAAAAATAATAATTATAATAATAATTATTCAATAAAAATCAAAAATAATAATTATTCAATAAAAATCAAAAATAATAATTATTTCGTTATTAGGAATTGTTGGGTGTTTTCTATAAGATTTAAACCATGGTTCTTTGGCGCGCATCTCCATCGAGTATTCTACATACATGAGCGCCATCTATTAATAGATAAGCGGTAGCAATAATCGAACCGTGCTTATCAAATGTATCGAAATTAAAAAAGAGTAAAACTGCTGTTTTTTAAATTGGCCAAAATTAGCGCACAAACATGTTAAATTTAATTATTGTGTAAATCGTATTGCAGAGAAATCTACGAAATATTTCAATAAAATAAAATTTTGAATGATCTCATTTCAGTCCCTTATTTTACGGCTACTTCAGCCACAGAAATAAAATTTGGTATTATAAAAGCTCTAAGTTCGAATTTTCGAACTAATTTTCCTTACTTTCGGTCTCTAGGAATATAATATTTTTCTGTTTTAATGTGTTTTTCCCCAAGAGAAACCGAAACGAATCTGAGCCAAGAAGCCGAGAGAGAGTGAGAGAGTAAACTTTCCCGTTTCAGATGAGCTTTTACAATGTTTTCTTCAATATCTCAATAATGTTCTCCAACACGGCAGTCAAAGCTCGCGCTCTTGAGTGCGTTTGCGTTTTCACACTCAAATTTCCAACTGGATCTTGGCACGGCGCGCCGCACAGTGGCGATTTCAACGAAAAGCGTTGGCAAAAGTCGGAGATTTTTTAGCGCTTTGGATGCAATGAATATACGCATCTAATAGAGAATTTTCCAGAGAAACGGCTATCACAGCTCTTAAATCCCATACAAAATCATATTTTAACCGTTTTTCGTGCGAGGTTGTGACAGGTAAATCGGTATAGAAGCCAAACGGCTCCGAAGCGCACAAAGGGCTTTTAGGCTTAGGTAATAAATAGTTCAAGGAACATATACAAACAAAATCTCGGGAAAATTTAGGGATATATTTTTGTAAAGAGCAGTCAAAGGTGAAAAACTGCTCAAAAGTTAGCTACTAATGAATCCATATGCTCAAGTACACTCAATATTAGAATAATTTTCAATCTCGCGCTACCTCAATTATGTTGTTGGTTACGTATGAATATGCAGGCTAGTATTTCTACCTTTACCTGTCGTTTTGACCAGGATTGAAACAAGGATTTAGAAACACAAGCGATAAAAGCTCATCACCGACATTCTTTGAGAAAAACAAAATTACTGTATAAATAACTAAACATTTTTTTTAAATTAAATTTTTTAATATTATGTTAAGTTAAAAATGAAATACAAAATAGTTTTTATAGCAAAAAACAATATTAAAAGTACTTTATCGATAAAACAAAACAAAAATTATTTAGCATTTTACATAGGAAAATATGCACCGGCAAAAAAGTTAAACTTTAACCCATTATTGTGAAGCTTATAGACACTGTAGCATAATTTACTTAAGCAGATTACATTTTGAAAGATTTTTCTTTCAAATGCAGTTGGTTTCATGAAGATATCTTTATTTGTTCAGAAGTTATTAATTTAGCAAGCTGAAACGGCGGAATTCGCCACTGTGCGCCGCGTCGGCTGCTGGCTGGCGTTGGTTGGGATGCTTTGAGTGATTTTGCACAGACTCTTCGAATAAACTTGCGGGTGGAAAATCCAAATGAAAAGCGGCTGAGAGTAGGAAAAGTGGTCCCGTGCGATGAACAAGTGAATTGCGCGAGAGACGAGCTGACGGAATCCGGAATTCGGAATCTCGGGTTCGAACAACGCACCGCAATCGGTAATTCGGGTGGAAAACTTAAAATTCGGTACATTTTCAAATCGCACAGCCCGGATTTTCGGCTGGTGAGCAGCTGTTGGCCGGAATAGGCTGGCTGGCTGGACCGTGCATTAGCAGCATCCGCAGAAATATCGAAATTCTTATCCGCCACGTGTGTTTTAGGCCGACACGGATGCGGGTCGGTGGCATCCATCGCGGACGCTGATGCGAAAAACGCAAACGGCTTACATTTATTATGCAAACGGGACGACACCAAAGCAACAACAACGAATGAGCGGAGCGGTACAGAAAAGGAGAGCACGGAGAACAACAGACAAACGATAAAAAAAAGTTCTTGAAACCACACAACCTAACGAAAAAAAAATAATTCCAGCAACGGTACAAAAGAGCGAAAGGAAAACGAAAGTGAGAAATCATATCGGCGGCCGTTAAAAAACTGGAAAGCGCTCATCCTCTCCTCTTCTATCCCCCAAACTCTTCTTTTCTATTCTATTCTCTCCTCTACACTCTACTCTCCTCTCGTGTTTTCCTTCTCCTTTTTTTTTTGTTTTGTTGTACACAGACAACGAAAAATTTGTCATCGCAGCGGCGGAGCGGAGAAGAACAAAAGGAACGAATCTCGTGGTGTTTGCAGGGGGGAAAAGCATCACACAAAGAGGATAGAAAGAACGAAATAATAAAACACCGAGTGCGGGCGAGAAAGAGAAGGAACAACCCTGAGCCCCCAGCTCAATGTCCTACCCCCGCTGGAGACGACACGACGACGCACTCACGCGCACGTGTCGGGGCGCATAAGCTTCGCACTTGACTTGAACATTAAACGCGTAGGGCTCTGCTCAGCTCCGCTGCCAGTCGCCCTCCCCTCACCGCCCCTCGTGCGTTATGGAAATTCTGGAGGCCTATATTGTCGTACTGCTCCTGTCGGCCCCGGCTCCGGCCACGGTCCTGCTGTCCTGCCGCGGTGTTGTACCGCCTCCTCCTCCTTGCCACCAGCAGGCTGTAAAATGCTGAAAAAATCTCCAGCCTTTCCACGCAATTTTTGACAGCTGTCAACGTGCGCTCAGCCTCACTGTGTGAGTAGCGTGTGTGTGCGTGTGTGTGGAGGTGGGTGGTGTGTGTGCCGTGTGTGGCATAGTTATTTCCACTTGGGCGGCAAGGTCAACGCCACACGAAAATTGAAAAGCAACGCCAGAGCCGCCAAAAAAACAAACCGAAAAGCATGTCTAGGACTCGCAGGAACAGAAACAGGAGCAGGACAAGGAGCAACAGCAACAGCAACAGCATCGGCAGCAGCAGGAGAAACCCACATCCCACATCCGTCGCCTCGATTCCGTTGCAAAAATGCTTGAGAAATATGTCGCCACATACTATGTGCGTGTGTGTGAGCAAGTGAAATTAAAATTCCCGCATGCCTAATGAATTCTCCATCCGAAATATGTGCCCCAAACGTTTGACGCACGTCCCCGCCGCAGCAGCCGCAGCCACCGAAGCCGCCTGTATCTGTGTTCGTGTTGCGCGAGTGTCTCCGAATCTGTGAAAGTGTACGTGTATGTGTGTGTGTGTTTGTGTGTGTAAGCAAAAACAACAGTTAAAAAACAATGGTTAACTAAACCAAGAGAAAGAGCAGAAGATTAAGAAAGAAAGAGCTAAGAAAGGAAAGCACAAGTGAAAACTAAGGCAAAGAAACAGCTGGGAAATACTTGTTAATTGTAGGCGAAAAGGTAAGAGTATCCTGTTACTACTATTATATATGATAAATTTAGGTTTACCTGCAACTTTTGCTAATTATATAATGCATTTTCGTGCCCAAAACCCAGAAACCCAAATACCCTAGTTGTCCAATCATTTCATTCATGGAAATGTGGTAGAGCCAAATGTGGCAAGTTTCCTGCCAGGAGTTACACGCACACACACACATGAAATAATGTCCATACTCGCACACAAATTTATGCAAATTTTATTCAAATCAAATTGCAATTGTGGCTAAAACAAACACTTGGAGATACAGGGGCAACTTTAACAAAATGCATAAAGGGGTTGCATGGTCGAACAACAACTGGGATGATGAATGTGTCTATTCTTGTAGCCTTTGTGGGCTGATAAAGCTACAGTGCTTTTAATAGAATGAATAAATAAAAAATGTTGCATATATCTGGATGAAGGAAGAAAATTAAGACACAGTGCCATATAATAGGAATAAGTGTGTGTTGAGAGCTTAGATAGGAGGTCTGTGTGTTTCTAAGATAAAACTAGAAAGGGAAGCTCTTAGAAGATGAAAATATAATGTATTGTGTACTATGTATATGCACACGAAAGCTAAGAGCCCAAAGAGCTGTCCCAAGTTTTGCATATGTATATTTTGAGCAAATGTTGGTTCTATCTGTGTGGAAAAGGACACACAAAAGTTCGAAGAGCTTAAGTATTCCCCAATCGATACGTTGAAAAGTTTGGATTGCGATTGGACCTTTCTTTCTGGTCTTATGATTCTGCCACGCACTGTGGCATACACTCTATATAGATAAGAAGTCATTACCATCTCTGTGCGAGTGAGGGGGGCTCCCCTTAAGGGGAAAACCAATTAAAATTATTTGTGGCGTCAAAGGAAAATGCCAAAGAATGCGACGAGGCGAAATGAAACGAAACGAAATGGGAAATGAAAATGGAAACGAAATGAAATGAAATGAAATGAAGAAATGGTGAATGGGCCGGGTGCTCAGCTTGGGACGTGGACAGTGGGGGGCGGTTGGCGGGCTGGACGTTGCCTCGTAAATAATGCGGGCATTAGAAAAAATACCCATCTCCAACGGGTGCTCTGTGGATGCTACAACTCCTGGGTTGGGCCGCCGAAACATCCTCTCTATCCTCTCCATCCTCTCCTTTCTGCTCCATTGCAGCGGGGCATAAAAATGTTAATTTATGTACGCTGCGCCTCACAGTTTGCATATAATATAAATTTTTGCCTCGTTTTTCTTTGCTTATTTTCTCTTTTTTTCTTTTCTTTCTCTTTTTCTTTCTCTTTATTTTTTTTGGAAATTTCTCTCGTTGAACACAAAAAAGATTTTCTTTTTGCCGTTTCTGTAGCCTGTGTTGTCTGTTGAATGAGAACGTGACTGTGTCCTAAGATACGCGAAACAGTTGCCAGCCAAAAGTTTCCCCTTTTCCCCGTCTTTCCTTTGCCTTTTCCTTTTCGTCGAACAGGATGCAGAAGGGATCCAACTGGCGCGTGTGTGTGTGTGTGTAGAAGATATCACTGCAGCGAAGCACAATTAACGCGAGTTGTCATTAATGTGGAATAAAAGGATATTCCACTGATTTCCATCCGATTCTCGGGGGCAAGATTGCAAGGCATGCGTGCGTGAACATTTAATTAAAGCAACTTATTAAATATGTAAATTTCCGCAAATGATTAATTTGCATATTTATGAGACTAAAATGAGAGCCAGGGAGGATGCGAGAGACAGAACTAAAACAACGGACACATCAGCAGCCTCAGCGACTGACTGCCACGGAGACGGCCGCGGCGGCGGCGGCGGCAGCGGCAGCGGCGACTGTCAATAATAATAATCAAGGAAGAACGTGAGAAGAACGTCCCCACAGAGGTGGAGAGGGGGGGCCAAGGAATGGGGAATGGGCGGCTGTAATAACAATTTCAAATTGAAATTATGAATTTAACATGACAGCCAGCGATGCGCATAAGTTTTATGGCTTTTAACTGCAGCTTAAGAAGTTTACTTTCGCCGACGCTAATTATGCGTAAGACGAAGCGAGGAAGAGTCGAGATACCATGGAAAAACAACCACGGGAATGCTTGAAGGATATAGGGTGGACGGAGGATGGAGAATACTTTGGTGCTACCTCCTGGGAGCACCATTAAATGACATTCCACCACACAAGTTCAGAGGAACTCTTACGGGAAAACAAGGAAAAGGGGTTGTCTTATGAAAAGCAACACCTGTCGAAATATCAGAATCATGTAGGGAAATTTTACGCTTAAATTTGACAAGAAATGTGACAAAAAAGCCACCATGGGTGGATTTTTCCACGCTATTAAACAAGAAAATTGACAGGAAGATGGGTTAAAAGTGGTTGGCTTTAAAGTGGGCGTTGGGGTCGAACTTCAGCGGTAAGATGGAAGGTCAATTACCTCTCTGGAGATATCTCCCTCAAGCGGCCAGAGCGTAGCTCTTCGCTGGGGCCACTAATTAATCGTTGGAGAAGGTATCGGTACGCACTTCGGTAGTCCTTAGGTGCTGCTGCAGCCCTTCGTAGTAGTCCAATTAAGTGCATTTCTTCGACAGAGTCTTCTACTGCCACCGCCCCTGCCACTACCACTGTTCCCATGCCACTGCTTCCACGTCCACTTCCACTGCCTTTGCCACTGCCTCTGTGGTTGTAACGACGTGCTTCAATTAGCGTGCATGAAGGATGTGGAGCCATGGAGCCCGTGGGCGGCCTGCATACCGAAAAATACTTGCTTCATGTCGTTACCAGCCTGGGTCCTGCGACCTGACAACGTGTCCGCATTTTGCCTGTCAATCAATGGCACTAACGGCCCAACAAAAATAAAGCAAAAAAAAAGTCGAAAAATCGGCAATACACGACAGGACAGCCTGCCGCATCCTTCTGGAGGAGGATGCTGGCCACTAATTCTTATTGGACGTCACACTCGAAAGCATTTTCACATTTTGCCAACACATTTTTCCTTCCATTTTGCGAACTTTAAGCCTCTTACGGAACAGTAACAGCATTTCCCACTCTTCCGCCCTCCTCCCGCTCGACTCACCCATCAGATCGTCCTTCGATTCCTACTGTATAGGCTTTTGGCTCCCTAATTAAAGCTCTCTCTACCACTACAGGCACAAAGGCAACCCACCTTCCATTCGGGCGAGGGCTCCATCATCCACCATCGTCCTCGTCATCATTTTGCGATTCTGTGAAAGTCAACAATTTTTAATTTCACAAACAAACTGTATATAATTAATTAAAGTTTAAGTGGGAGGGGGGGAGGAGGCGTCACAAATGAAAAAGTAGCCTTATAAGTGCCACCCCTTTTACAGACCCAGGGTCCATTCCATGCCTCTCCATGCCGCTGCATGCTCTCCTCCGTTTCAGAGATCACAACAATGCCCTGTTGTGGTACCCTTCCAGAGGAGGGTACTTGGACTTTGAACAGGAAATTAAGCATCTACGATATTAGAGGATATAAAGTGTATTTATTCAAGATTAATAAAGGAAACTATTTGATTCTGTATTCCCCAGTTCCATCTAAGTTATTGATTCGCTGTACAAATTTACCATAAGCGAAATGACACATGTCAGATCTGATATTTTATCTCTCCTAACCTCTGTTCTACACATCTCCCACACATTCTATGAAATTTCAAAGATATTTATCCTATCTTTGGAAAGTGTATCAATAGTTTCGAACTTCAAAACGGCACTCCTTTCGTTCTTGTGTTGGGACCCTGCTTCTGTATTCTCATTTTGTTTTAATATGCAAAGTAAACAACATTCTGTTGTTAGCCAAAGGGCAGAATCAACAGAACTAACTACATTCTAGAAAGAGAAAGAGATGCACAGAGAGAGAGAAAGACAGAAGCAAAACAGTTGACTGCCCAGCGGCCGCATTAGCCGAAAGGAGCGAAACAAGCGACACCAAGACTCATGGGGGACTCGTTGGCCAACAGACCCACAGACGAGCCTAATGGACCGAAATATGTGTGTAGGCAGTGCGTGGCAGTGGCCAGAGATTGGTTAGAGCCCCCCAGAATGAGGGGAAATATTGCATTGAGCTCTGTGTGCATGTTGTGTGTGCTGGAGATGAAATTGGCATCAAATGATTGGGCCACAGATCTACAGAGATGACTCCAGATGTCGACGATAGAACGTGGTCAAATATGCGTGCCACAGACTACACCCGCGTAGATACACACAGACAGTACGTACGTATATGGAACGGGGGAAACGCGCTAATAGGTTTTCCTGGAAATTTGTAACACTGAATCTAAACTTTGTATATGCTATACATGAGTGCATAGCTATAAAAAGCGCTTATTCCGCCAGAAAGTTTATAAAGCTCTGCTCATTAGATATACATACTGATGTATGTACATACATATACATAGACCATAAATAATCTGAATTTCAAACCAATTTAAACATATCTAAGAGAAGTTAACTTATGCATTTAAAATATGAATTCCACTTGAGCACAGAAATTCCTCAAAAGGAGATTATATTTTCTGCTTTTCCCCTTAATTAGGAGTCTCTAGGGTTTCTCTCTCTCTCTGAAGGTATCCGTCAAATATAATTCATAATTTTAGTTACACATGGGAATTCTTGTGTGGCGAGGCTTTGCGGTTCCTCAAACACAGTTTAGACTAAATTCGCAACTGAATTCTGCATTCTGCAACCGTTCACCACCATGCACTGAGTTTCGTGGATGTGGAAATTGAACTTACCGCAATATTTGCTCAATCTTGTCTTTCGGCAGGCACTGGCACAGGCACAGGCACAGGCATGCCAAGAGACATGCACAGGCATGTCCTCAAATGGGAATCACTATCGTTTCTGGGATTTGAGTGGAAAGGGCCGAGAGAACGAGGCCGTGGCTGAGGCTGAGCCACAGCCAGAGCCAGAGCCAGAGAAGGCGGAGAGCGAGGCTTTGAGGTGAGTGTCAACGATAGTTTGCCCGTCAATCAGTTTTCGAATTGTTTGAAAT